TGGGAGCAGCGAATCCATCTTGGAAAGAGTTGACGGAAAACATGATGAAATGTATACAAAATGTCGATGGAGAGAAATTGATCAATATATTGAATACTGCTGAAGTCGAGGGTGTATCTCGAACTATCATCAGACTTTATTTGACCACGGAAAATGGGAAAGCTTTGCAGGAGAAGATAAAAAGTGATATTTGTGAACCTATTCACCAGCTTGCTGAGAATTTGGTCGAGTTGAGCGGGAACAATGAGAACTTAAAATCTTTAAAGGAGTTGTTACCCTACCATCTGCCTAGCATAGTGAATGCCATTTTTGGTAAAAAAAAATAAATCACCTCGAATAAAAACTTAGGCAGTAATTAAAAAAAAATACTTAATAAAACTTTTTTAAATTGACACTTACGTTTACGGCTGTAATTTTGATTTTTGATAACGTTTGATAGGAAAAAGGCTAATTTTTAAATTTTTATCTTGAATATAATAACTTTTTTATTAGATTTGAAATGTAAAGGAACTTTTGGTATGTTGTTTCTACTGGTAAAGTCAATTACGTATTTCGAGTTTTTTGTTGTTTGAAATGTTTAATTATGTCAAAATAAAAATAGTAAAGTTAAGAATTATTCAGTTCAGTACAATCTGAACAATATCTCTCGAACAATATCTATCTAAATTAATGTTATCTGACTGAGTAATAAAATTGTTGCTGTCACTGTCTTATACAAACATTCTGACGCGACAGCTATATAATTTTCCCCAGGTAACTTTTATTTGACCAGTGAAGAATCAGCCCTTAATTTGGCTAGTTTCCTAGGCCAAAATAAAATTGGCGTTTCAATTGTATAAAATATTGAAAAATAACTATAGGTATAGGCACCTACTTTTATTAATTGATCTCTCGAGAGGTACACTAAACATTCGACATTCTTTAGCTAATTTTTAAGAAATAAGTAAGTTATTTGCCGCAAAAAACTATGATATCATATTTGGAGTTTCATAAAAATTTCATAGAAAAGTGTCCTTTTTGACATTTGGATATAAGTATTGAATTTGACTAGTTGGAAACTACCGTATTATATAAGTATAGGCGCTATTGTTAATAATTCTTACTTAGATAAGCCATTTCTAAATGAATATCGATGTGATTTTTTTAGGTTTTAGATAATAAATAGGTACACAATTCTAGAATTCTAGATATAAGTTAAATTGCTGCGCCCTAACAGGGTAATGTACTGTACTGGTTGTATGTTATACTTGTCAATAATACAATTATATAATTGTGCAATATGAGTAAATAAATAAAGAAATTAGGTATTATAAGTCTCCTACATTAGAATTTAATTTAAAAAATATTAGAATTAAATAATTATTGCTAGACTAATTTTACATATACACATATAATTATAATTTATTTCTAATAATGTTCAATGCATAATACTTACTTACTTACCAAAAAGACTGCAGTCATAATTTAGTTTTTTATTTTTTATTTAAATTTAATTAAAATATTGTAATTTAAGTCAACCTATAAAGGTTAGGTTAAGTCAACTTTTAAGTCAACCTATAAAGGTTTAAGTCAACCTATAACCTATAAACCTTTAAGTCAACCTATAAAGGTTAGGTTAGGTAAGAGAAATAATTATTTCTCTTTGGCCGTATTTAATAACTTGGGTTCTAAATTTGAACAAATTTGGCATTACCTACCATTCCTCACCTCCTCCTCAGATTAAGTTATTTTTAACTCTTTCCTCCTATTACCTAGTACTTAATTTATTTTTAAATGTTTAAATAAACATTATGAAATACTATGTTGTCATTATAGTGGTTTATGAGAAAGTAATCATATAATTTTTAAACTATAAAAGACAATATATTGTAGTCTAAGTTCTGTCTTGGCTAGTTTCTTGGATTTGGATTGTTGATACGACAAACTAGCGATCGAACATAATAAATTCGTTGAAAGGTTTATGAAAACTCGCCAAATCAGTCCTTAGGCTACAATACACTATTTTATGTTATAAGAATATATGATATGTTATAGGTACTGTTACTTGTAAATACATTTCAGGACTGACCATTGAACTTGGCACCCATTTTGATCTCACTTCTTTTGTCATTGAAGTCAAGTAACAACCAAGGCATTTATCATAATATTGAATTTGGCTCCCATTTTTTGATTGGATTAGGTACTTTTATTTTGAACCGCCTCGACTTCGCAGAGGTAGATAAACTTCCTACAGTATCTAATAGTACTTAATTCCTCTTCAATCACGCTGTCTATTAATTAAACCGCATTAAAATACGTTGCGTTGTTTTAAAGATCAACAATAATTTACACTAAGGTACTTATAATAAGTTGTGAAGTGTCTAAATTTATTACAAAGGTTGTCAATAAAGTTTTTTGATAAAGAATGTGTGACGTTTTATTTACCTACTTACATATCTCTTCTGAAGGCCTTTTAAGATCTCTTTTTAAGGGGGCCTAAGTCTAGATGGCAAGCAACTTAGTCTCATTAGGTACCCGACGGTAAGTCATTAAGGTTAGGGGTCGTGGTAGCCAGGAGGTTATGGCGCCCACATTTCGTGCATGAGGTTTTTTTTTTGTTTTTTTTTGTGAGGGGAAAATCATCAAATGACTTCTCCCGCCCAGGGCCGGGCAGGAGGGAGTGTCAGACTCTTACTGACTAAAAACCCCCCTGTTCCTTCTCCTGCTCTGTGTCGAGGTGGCGGTAACTCATTGCGCTTACCCCGCAACCCCGGCTGAACATAACAGCCCTTTAGGGCCCCGTCTGTGGTGGTCGAATGGCTCTTTGAGGCGCGCGCGGAACGCTACGCGCCGTACGCTCGGGTTCGTGCATGAGGTTGAGGACGCATTTAAACCTGGTAAGTACCTACCTACCATTATTTTTTTGTGACAGGGCGGCAAACGAGCTTTGGTATTGCCTGATTGTAAGCAGTCGGCGTCACCCATGGACACCCGCAACGTCAGAGGAGTTACGACTTACGAGTGCATTGCGGTCGTTTGGGGATTAGGGTTTTGCAGGTTAAGGGATTGGGGAGAAATTGAAATTACCCAAGGCCCAATCTCCTTGGATTGGGCCTTCGGTAATTTCATTCAAACGGCGAATTTCACGACGGTTTTCTGTAAGGCCGTGGTATCATTTCGGTCGAGCCGACCTATTCGTACCGAAGCTTGTCCCACATGTAGGTAAAGTTACTTTTCCCAAGTTATATTTAAACCCCAATAACATACGGTGAAGGAATACCATAAGGCAATCTAGACTTTTATAAGGTTCAAATAGCCAATTAGCTTTGAGCAAGCGATAGCGATAATGCTTATCTAGCTAGGGTATAGCTTCAACCTTCTTCGTGTAGGAAGAAGTCATTCTCCTCAGTAATGAGCACTTATTGGCTGATGATATGATGGTGTGAAGTATCAGCGCCGATCATGGACACTCGCAACTAGCAACCAGAGGTAACCTAAGTCCAATTTCATCCCAAAGTTTTTTGTACTTACACTTATTAAAAAAGTATACTTACACTTATTAAAAAAGAGTTGATAACCATAGAGTTTCTTGCTCGTTCTTCTTTATTCGAATCTACAATTTGGAACGAGCAAATAGCTTCACTAAGATGACTGACCGACAGACTGACATATTATATCTTTAAGCTTTGTTTGACGTTAAAAGTGCCTGTAAGGGTTTAATTGAAATAAATGATTTTGAATTGATTAAATTATTAACTTAAAAGAATAGTAAGAAGTTATTAGACCCACTTTTGCCTATTGAAAACCGTATAAAATATAATATTGTATTAAGCACTTTTTGAATTTAATCACTAACCAACGGAACGGGGATTTTGTTTTAAAATATCTTTATCTTTGAATATTGATGACTAGTTAGCCTAGGTACTTACCTATACATATTATATAGGCTTAGGCAGAATTACTTTATCAATAAAGTGATACCAAGTATTGATTTCTAGGTAGCAAATAAAGATATCTAATTGTGTCTGACACCTTATAGGAATTCCCCTTTATGACGAGCGATATCTTTCTTTTCTTTTTTGCCCCACTCTAGGATTTTCTCCTATGCTGTGGGTGCAGTTCATCATCATCATCAGCCTGATATCGTCCACTGCTGGACATAGGCCTCCCCAATTGCACGTCACTGAGCTCGATGTTCAGCTCTTCTCATCCAACCACTGTCAGCCACCCTCCGGGTGTCGTCAGTCCACTTAGCTGGTGCGTGCAGTTACAAACATACAATTACACATACATATCACACCCAGACCCAGAACAATAAGGTGTGATCACACAAAGAATTATTGTTCTGTGCGAGAACCGAAGCCGTGACACGTTGCACGGCAGCCAATTGGCCAGCCACCGCACGACCAACCGTGCAGTCATCTTTATAATGGCACCGAGCCTTTTAGGAGAAATTTAGTCAGTATGTATGGGATTTTTAGCACAATAAATATATCACAGTAAAGTAATCTATTTGACGCAATACGACGACGTCAGAATTTGGAGTTTCATACGAATTTCGTAGAAGACTCTTCTATGAAATTCTTATGAAACTTTTTTATATTTGGTTAAAAGTAGATATTGATTTGACTAGTTGGAAACTACCGTAGTAGGTTCAAAGTTCATAGAGGTGTGCAAAGACAATTCGAAAAAAAAATTGACTTGTCTGGTTGTCTATTAGCTAATTGACAAGCAAGGGCAAATTTCTGTCTCTTTCTTCCTGTAAGTGTCGTGTTGGCAAAGTGACTTGACTACATATTATTTATCAGGGACCAGACATCAACGCCCCTTAATAGACCTGAAATTTTTAACTGCTATCTTCACTCCTCGAACTGGTCTTCAAGCGTGCAGACTTTCGTCAACTTCCTATGTAGAGAAGACTCAAGTCCCCGTGTAAACTACCAATATGAATAGAAATAAAACAACACAAAATACAGAAAGAATGCTTTTATTTTCCATTAAAACTATATATACCAGACCATGTACAGCACTCCTCCCGGCATTTTACTAAAAAAATAATCCAGAGCATACATCTTTGGACAAAGAAACTAAACATTGATAATAAATGAAAACCACTACACGAGCGAATGGACAGACCGCTTCAAACCTATAGGTATCAGAAGTTGTGGTACTAAAAAAACATACTGCGTCGAAGTTTCCAATATAATAGCTAATCTCCAGCAAACATTTCTTACTAAATTTAATGCGAGTACAATTCTCGTAGCGTTTTTATTGCCAATTTTTATAAAGTTTCACTTAAAAACAGCTTAAGTTTAGCTTATTTTTATACGCAACAATTAAATATTAGACGATTATCTACGTAAACAGGAAATTGCGTCCTATACGCCATTTCTGTAGTCTCAAATGCATAGCGTGATAAATATCGGGCCATTGCATTTAAAATATTTCGTAGTAGGTAACGTTAAAAAGGTTTATTAAAACCACTTTTAACGTAACTTAGTAAGAATGAATATTTATAAAATAAATAATATGAAGTTATTTTTATAATGATGGGTGAATACAAGGCCAAATTTCAAATGGAACCACATCAAATAATATGTTTACATGATATACCTAGATACATACATAAATATAATCACCATCACGTTATAATGAAAATATTTTTTTACTGTTTTCGTAATCATCAATGCCGACGTTTTCGCGCGCTTTTTAGTTAACTGTCAATGTCAAAAACGCGAGTGATAAAATACAAAAGTTATTTTTCTATTACAATTAATTTATATACTCTCGAGACTTTTATTACAATGAAAATAAAAGGTATGAAATAGAAACTAAGCTAAATACTAAAATTGGTTCCAAAGAAACGTGTCAAAGTAATAAAATGTCGTCATCAGTACACGACAGTGAGTTTAAAAAAATATTAAACACAAGCGTACTTTTAACGTTTGTGTGCCTACAAAAAGCGAATCAATTGTAAGTATTATTTAAAACACTAAAATACACTTTTTCCCGTAACTTCCACGATTAATTCATGCCTATCTACTTTTTAAAATGCTTATTCATATTTATAAACTACATTTGCTATTTTTGGGAGTGTAAAAATATTTTAAAATGGATAAATAGTCGTGTCGATGGTGGCATAAATTGTATAGGTAATTATTTCACAAAACATTCAGATTTATTTTTACTAAGAAAACTAGAACTCTAGCGACATTATTTATCTATTTCTTTATTTGGTATAATTGATAATGTTATTTGCTATCTAATTTGTAGACTTATATAGGTAGGTACTTGTCATAAAGTGTTTCTGTTAACTAACAACTTTTACTAGGTATTGCATTACTCAGTATTTAGGTAGATAAGCTAAATGCACTTAGGTATTGATTTCTCTCATATATGTGAATAGGCACTATATACAGCAGTTTTAGTATTTAACCCTGCGTAATTTGATTCCCATATCTGATCAAATAATATTGTGAAAAAATCAATAAAGAATTTGGCGGCAATTTGAACGTTTCATATAAAAAAAGATGGCCGAAATAATGACATCGTTGTGAATTATTCGGTACCGTGACGATAAGCATTGAGTAAAAACTTATTAAAGAAATTTTAAATAAGAAATATCTATTGAAATTGGGTGTTGTGTCACTTGAATATCTTTGAATTTGTATTTTACGTTTTTTGCTAATTATATCTAGTATAATTTATTAAATTACTACATGTTTAGTCTGAAATGGAAGCCTAGAATTATAATAGGATTATTTAGGTACATTGTCAGCTATTTACAAGTTAATTATTATATAAAAAATACCTAAGTTACGGGAAAAACTTAGTATTTCGAAACACTAACATTAGGAGGCAAATCTTAACTGTTTATTAATATATTTATTTCGCTTCATAAGGTGTACGAATACCTACTTTTATTAGTAAGGACCTTGGAGAGCGCAGGTTACTTTTTTTTGCAAGGCCGGGACGAAAATCAGTTTCATGTTACACGTTGTTTTCTTGTGTAGCACGAAATCCCATAAAATGACCAATCATTTAGGCTGACAAAAATGGGTTCAATGCCAAACAATGTGTAAAAATCGTTTGGAGAAGTAGGATTTAACGCTACAAGAGCGCCATCTGGCGAGCATAAACCGTTAGTCTCATTAGATAGAAAATCAAACTCCCTGACAGCTAGTCTTCGTTAATTTTACAAACAGATGGTATCATTAAAATGTTGAGGTTCTTTTTTTTTCAATATTTTTTAGATGATTTAGAAAAAAAATACATAATCTTAGGGCTCCCCACTAATAAAGTATGTTCTCGTGTTTTAGAATATTACATTTCAATTTGAATATAATATTAATACGAAAAAAGAAACAATCTACGTAGATATATATTTACAAACAATTCTTAGAACTTGGGTGAACTCATTTCTGTTATTTTGTCACAATCAATGACAGTCAAAACTGAAAATGGGTTTCGGGGGTCTATTAAAAAGAGACACAAGGTAAAGACGCGATACACTTTTATTTCAAATTAAATAGCATTCGCGTATAATTAGAAGACATATTTATTATCACATTTACAATTCAATCCTTGACAAAATCCGTTTTCTTTCTTCATACAACGCTAACCTCTTGAGCCAACATTCAACAAGATACAAGGGACGCATAATTTACATTAAATATTTGAATTCTTCGACAACATTAGTCATTATTATTGCTTTCTTATAAATTCAAGCTTCGTAAACAATCACTAAATATGTAATACAAAATTTTAATAACATTTTTGTGTACTAGAACCTGAAAAATTGTCCAAAATCTCTGAATCTCGATCTAGGTTTTTTGATAGGAATTCTATCGACATAAGTCAAATATAAATCTTGATTTAAAGACTTTGGATGCTGATCGGTTATTAAATTCAGACGTAACTAATGTACGACGAACATGATTTATCCAGAGTTTGTTTCGCACGGTGTCAACTTAGTTGCGCAACTAATCGTCGGCAACTAAGTCCCAGTTAGTTCTAGTATCGGAAGACACGGTAGCGCGTCTCATTGTACAGATTTTAAAATGCGAGTTCTAAGTCCATGTCACAATAACGTATTGAATTTTGAACATATTTAGAGACTATTTAAAATTGATTTTACAATACAGGGCAGGTTTTAAGTGTTGTAATGAGATGTTTAGTACAATTTATGAGTTCACCCAAAATCCTTGCTAAACAAATTCGTTACATACGGCAGTTTTAATACTCTTCACGGCAAACCATTGAGTATTGCAATATTATATTATTTGTATAAACATTATATTGTAAGCTTTAACTGTAAATTTTGTAAAATTAACCTTTTTCATTGGATAGTTTCCGAATAGTCAAATATTTTGTAGGATATACTGACTTGAGGCAATGAGTAAACTAGTTTTTTTTTAATATGCTAGAGAAACATTTGGTAATGAGATTGAAATGTCAAAACACTGTTTTTGACTTAGGAAACCAACCAATTATGTACAGGATATGAACTATATGACATATTGTAAAATTCGAACACTATCTACATTGAATTAGGCTAGAAACTATAGATTTTATTAAAAAAGGTTTGGTCTGTTTGGTGTGAAAACTGAAAATGATCATTATTACCTAGATTTTAAAGGTTAATTTTACAAAACTACAGGTTAAATGTAACTATATACTGTAGAAAGCTTTTGCTACCACAAAGTTTCGTTTATGTTTTGATTTTAATCTGTTTTTAGTCCAGTTTTTTTTCAATCTAATTTCCGTGGTCTGAAATTATGAAGTAAAATCTACCAAAAAGGCACTTTTAGAACATCAAAAAATAGTATGTGTCGCTTAAAAGGGCGATATTAGGGATGAACTCTCGAATCAATATATTCTGTAATCATAAAAAAAAACATTGCTACATTTTAGGTCAAATTGCTAAAATTCCTGGTTGCCATCGCAGAACGCAGCAAACATGGCGGTGTACGTTTATGAGCCCCTATCGTCGCTTCAAACTAGATCCTCGAATGACACGGGTAGTCATATAGTTTAGCTATTTTGTTTAAACTGGACTAAAAACATTTTAAATGAAAAGGGTACCATTATAAAATGAACTTACGTATATATAGATATATGTTTACAACCATTATACACCTGAATGAAAACATTTATATCACATTTTTCGCATAATTATATTAAGAAACTTGGCCGATTCTTTTGCTATAATGTATTGTTATTGTTTTTTTTAACCATTTTTAATATATATTTATACAAAAATTACTTTTCCTTGTGTTTCCATAAATACAATTTGACTAAATTGGAGCGTGTTCAGAATGCGGGATTGTGGCGCGAGTGTTGGGCAACTTATTGCCCAACTTTTACAAGTATGCACTAAATTGGAGGTTAAAGCCGGCACACAGAAATAAGCCCGGCTAGTATTAATCATTTACCACCCACCAAAGGTTATAGAAACATAAATAGACCCGTTATTAGAATAGTTCAAACTACCCGTAATGTGAGTGGATTAAAATGCGTACGAGTGCCAAAAATTTGTAAAACAAAATTTACCCAACTACTAAAAGGGTAAATTTAGCCATTAAAAATCCCATTCTTATTTCAAAATCTGAACACACTCTTTGTTCGAACGGGCGGTACGTTACAACGCTGAAGGTGCGAAGGCTAGTTAAATTCCAACTAGACACAAATCAAAATAATACGTTTTATTTACACTTACAGACACCTAGCCTTACAGGAAAATAATAACAATTTATTTCTCTATAACAAGTCGCTAATTACTAAAAATTAAAATTAAAAGTCGGGCTGTTGACGATTCGGGCGACTTTTTCGGGCGATTTATTTGTCGCAGGAGCTTTGTTATACGTTAGTGCAATGGCAATGCGATATAATGTATGATAAACACTACGTTCTCTAACAAAAACACACTTCAAATAACTATTTCATAAATATCAGCCCAAAATTGAAACGCAAAAGGCATCTTGATGGGAAAAAGACAGAAAATCGAAATAAAAACCAACTTAAGTGAAAAAGCTCTGCCATAATAACACCTTAAAATTACAATTAAAACGGAACCAATTATATCTATGATATTTATTTTTAATATTACTTGTACAAAATACTCTTAACACTTTCTCAATTTTATACTAAATGCGAAACACATACTTACAAACTATTCGTTGAATTTACAGTATTAGACAGACAAGTCGCGCACGAAAAAGTCGCGGTCATAGTCGCCGGTGTGCAACAACCCTGAACGGTACTAAATTAATTAAAAATTCACAATTGTCTACCTAACAAAATCTTAAGCTACTTTTGATATCCTATACATCTTGCTTTCTGCTTTAATTTATTATTTATTACTCAAAAAATTCATTCTCCCAATCACACGTCGCTACGTCATCATAATGTTTTTTGTTTTGTATTTTTCTTTTTTAATTTATATTTTTTTTAACACCTAATCAGAATTATTCATAAGAATCGTCATATACATAAAGTAAGCATTCTATCGTAGAGTATCGATATATATAGTATAATAAATTTATCGACACTGCATCAATGTGGGTCTTAGTGGCACCGGCATTGAGATGTAATTTTTTTCGATTCGGGTAAGCTCGGATTTACCAAGTTTGTCGATGTCACTGAGCCCGCATCGCACGATAAGTATGGGCCAGCCAGAAATAGGAAAAAAAATACTATAAGAGTCTAGGCAGGCCCTAATTACCTACAAAATATACACTTACATATAAATTATTAAAAAAAAATCTCACCATTTTACAAACAACAGTCATTATCGGCAGTCAACCGGAAAATTACGTATTTTCGTCAGTTTTGTTTTCAATATTTTTTTAGTTCAGCAATTTTCGGTTGCCTGTCGATTTTACGTCGAAAAGGGAGTATATTAGTGTCAGATTAGGCGTGTAAAGTGGTTGTTATTTAAACTAGAAAAGTCGACTTTACCTTCTAGATCATAAGTGTTGCATCACTTAAAGGTATGTTTATTTTATTTTACATTGCCTAAGGCTTATTCCCTGAATATATCTGCTAAACTGACACTCATATACGTTTAATATCAAGCCCATTTAATCCCAATATGGTGGGAACGGCGTCAAAGGCCGTTTTATTAGTGTAGCTAGCAACCCCGCACCTAAATCCCGCCACGAACATCACGATTTTGGCTCTAAAAAATCAGTCTATTACAAAACTACGACACAACCGCGCAGGTTTTATTTACAACGTTATACCGATAAACAAAACTACATACTGGCTTTAAACACAGCTGTGACGTGACGTGGCGCCCGTGATTTGAATTTCAAAAAAGGAAATCACAAGCAGAGCCAAAACCGTGCGTCTAGAAACAAGAAGAGTAGAAAAAAAAATAGTTAAACAGTGAAAAATAAAAACGTTAACCGTAGTTACACTACACTATTGAGGTCCGATAGTTGATGCTTGAGAAACGTCGACACACGAAGCTACCGTGGGCTTGGCTCTGTACTGTGACGTCACTTGCCCACGTGACCGTTGCCCAACGCCGGCTCGACGACCTGGAAACCGTACGACGAGTTGAGCGCACAGCCGTGTGTCGTCGTTCCTAATGAGGCTGCAAGGTTCACGCACAGCGATGGGCCGTTATCTCAGAAAAACTAAAGACTCAGTACAAAACTCGGTACTAATTAAGAGAAAAAAAAACTACGGCAAATAGTGAAAAAAAAAACGATCGAATCCCACCGCTGTGTGTTTCTTTTATACACATTCACAGCTCGATTAGTTGGACCAGAGCCTTCAGAGATCGATGGCATACTCAGAGGGTAATGAACTCAAATATACAAACAATTTTCACTTGCAACAATATTCGAAAATTACGAAAAAAAGTACAAGTTCCTTGAGAGATGTTAGTACCGACTTTTATCGCATTTTCGAAATTGTCACAGTAAAAAACTGCTCTTATATGAGAGATTTTTTCCTAGAGTATGCATTGAGTCTGTTGGGTCGGTTTTAACTAAATCCGAATTGTCATGTGCCTCCCGCCACCAGGGTATTTAGAAAGCGAGGGTACCCAGCAAATATGTGCGTTTGCAACCCAACGTAGACTTTTTCAAAGTGTGCGTTATTTTTTGAAAAAGTCCCGAGCCCCAGGAGGTCACGATATACACAGCTGCGCGCAAGCTATCATTTAGCTGTTACTTATAAACATTGAATCAGTTTTGGAGCGTATTCGTTGAAATTGAAAAGAACATTTGCACGAGTTGCGCGGTGTTGAGCAACTGTTGCGCCACTGTTGCACAACAATCGAGCAATCGCAAGCAAATAACAATAATATTAAAATTTAATTAATTTTCACGAATACGCCAAAACTGTAAAAATGCCGTCAGACATTGTCAAGTGTTGTTCAAGTCTTTCGGCTGAAAAAAAGTCGACAAAAAGATCACATTGTCGGCAACAAAAAAAAAATACACAGAATATTAAAAAAATAAACATTTCCTATACGCTAGAGATGTACAAAAATGTCGTATAAAAAGTCTCTATTTCCGATAAGTAGAAAAATTAAAATATAAAAAAAAATTAAAAACATTGATGATAAAATGACTAATCACATCAATAATTACTTGACTAACCATTTTATCTACAAAAAAGTGGCAATAAAAAAACAAAAATTAAGACAGAAATCAGAGACAGCAGTAAAAAAAAACAAGTAGGTATAACAAAAAAAAATTACAGGTAGCTAGAAAAAGAAAATAACAGCTAAATAATAGTTGAAAAAAGGTGCTATCTGACAGGTCAGGTGTAATGATAAAACGACAAAGCGTATCCATGCATAAACACTTAGAATTAATACAAATTATATTTAATTATATAACTATTGTACTTATCGAGTAGTATTCCCAGTCAAAGACATGTTTTTTTTAACATTTATAACAATAAAACATTATAAATCTTTGATATTTGGATCATTTTTTCTAGCTAATTAGATTATTAGATTTTAGACTACAATTTTAAGGTCATCAATGACTATAATATATAAGTATTGTTTATGATATTTCAATAAAAGCAATGAATTTGACTGGTTTTTAAACTACCCTAACTAGTAAATAGCACTCAAATAGTGACAAAAATATTAAGAAAAAAGCGTGTATTCTTTTTCTACACTTTAATTTTTAGTATATCTAAATACTATTGATTATTTCCGAATATGGAATTTTTATAGAAATGACTTAAATTTGAGTGAGTTCATCTTGAAATTTTGGCACTATTTAGTGATATGCAATGTTTCATATACGGCTTATTGAAGCCATTTTATTATTTTCTATTGAAATTGTAATATAAAGAGGATGTTTTGCAAGGCAGTGTGTTTTGTGTAAAGTTAATTCTATTAGTTTACTTTTAAGTATATCTCAGATATGAAACACAAATATTTTTTTTTACAAATGAGGTTAATTATTTGAAACTGCCTTTTTGCTGTATAAATTAGTGTTCTGGTTTCATTTATATTTAAATAAAATGCAAAACTCTTCAAATTACGAAATCATACTTTTTAATTAAATAAAAAATCGTTTTGAAAACAATAAATTCGATAGATTCAACTTACAATAACTAATTTACAGGGTTTTAATAACTAATTTACAAAGAAATAACTATGAAATTCTTTATGGTAATCTCAGTTTTTGTAAAGACATAATTCGACATAAACATCAGAAAAAAAATTGTAACACGATTAATTTTTTTTTTTGCTTTTTTTTATTCGTTACCATATTATGTCAAATTATTTTTTATAAACCACATTTTTTTCAATTCAATTATATCTTAGGTCACTATTATTTTTTAATTGATTTTAAGTACTTTGATGTGTCATGCCGATTTAAGGCTTAATCTTAAAAAAAACCTTAACTATGAACCTTATAAAAACCATGTCACAAACTTTCCTATGTACCGTCGACAAAATTTCGTATATTTTTCAAAAACCGATTTATTAAAATGAATCAAAAAAACAATTTTAACTATGTACTTACATACAACACACATGAAATGATTATCCAAGATTTTGTTTGAAAGAGAAACTCCGTGATTTATTATTTATAATGGAAGAAAATATAATCCATTATTTAAAAAAAACATTAAAAAAAGTTACAACAAAGATAGTTTTTAGCCTCTAAGATCTTAAAAATAACTAGATTTTTTATTATATGTAAATTTGAATGAGGTGATTTTTTTCATAGTTTAAAGAAATTATATTTCTATGTATTAAGTATATATCTTAATAATCACTGCATAGTGTCACATAGTGATTCGAACTAGTATAGTAATAACTATTATATATAAAACAAATACTTATCTTAACAATAAACTATAAACACACAAGTAAATACCTTGCCATTATAAAAAAAATAACATGTTTAAGTACTTCACATGGAAAATATATCAAAAATATAAGTTTTACTTTTTATATAATGCAATAAAATTATCTCTACTATAGTTTAAAAAATGGTAACAGGAATGGCACCATAATCAGATGTCTTCTTCTTTTTATTATTTACAAAATTTACAAATTATTAAAAATATAAAAAAATCACAACTGTTTTCGTAAGTAGTTTTAAAACATGATGTATTTTAAATGGATCACATTAGGTATATTTAAAACCAAAAAAGAGATCTTTTTGAAATGGCATCTTAATCAATTTGACAGTACTTTAAAAATGTTAAACTTTGTGAATATCTTTTAAATATTAATTATATCTAAAAAAATTGACGTATGAAATGCCTCATTATTTTCTGTTATATATAATTAATATTTCAACAAAACAGAATCGTATTTGTGAGATTATATAGTTAATTGTATTTTCTATATACGAAAACAATTGCAAATAATATAACAAAGATTCCATAACACAAGCTTCCAATTTTAAAAGCTCAAGTTATCGAAGACTAAATATACACCCTGTGAAGTTTTTTTTTATACTTTTTTGATCATGTTCTGAGCAAGCGATTCTATTTACAGTTCTTAGAATACTAGAAATATTTAAGGAGTAACATGTCAACCTAACATAACGTAATATTAAAGCTGAAATGGTATGTTTTCAGATAATTTTCTAAAAATATATATATATTCTGTGATACAGCGAACCTTTTATCACTTTTATAGTAAATAAAATCTGCTTTAATAAACTATATATATAAAAAAACTATATAAACATTTCAAAATGTAATTGAAATATATAAAAGTCCAAATTGGAATGTTACTTTAAAGGAAACTATATTCAAGTTAACAACTTGTAACTATTATAAAAATATCACATACAATGGTGATGTCGAAAATATGTAAATACATTTTATTTGTGATAAATATTTTTTATAAAACTGGCTACAAAAGCGATTTCAAATAGCAAAAAGCTATAATAAACTTGTATATACAAAATATACTTTAACAAGCCTGAATAAATACTTTTTACTATACATTTCTTTTAATTATTAAGTATATAACTTGTAAGTATCTCTGATATATCTCTATATATTATAGATTATATAAATTGTATAACGTACATAAAATACACGTATCTATATGTCAGCCCTGTAAATATTGTATGGAGTCATCTAATATTTTTGTACATAGTTATGTATTAAGAAGGTCTAAAATATCTGACGCTTTTACGCAAGTATTTGCAAAATTTTTCAATAATTTATTTATTACTATTGATTATTGATTTGAGTAAACTTTTGCGATCATAAAAAAATATTACCACCTTGGATTCTGTAGTTAATTTGTGCCTTCGTTTTTTTTATTATGAACAAATTATAAAGCTGAAGTCTGTTTGTTTGAACAGACTCATATTCGGAACATATCGATCGATTTTTATTTTTGTGTTGGATATTCTATTTGTCGAGGATGACTTCCAATCCAAGCCATTAAAAATCATGCTACTACTAAAAGGTTGAAGCTAGTATTTCAAATGTACCAATTATACAAGAATATATTGAAATAAAAATATATTAATGTACTTTCCCAAGGGTTGATTTTGCAATGGTTAGATAAAAGTTACCTGGGGAACAATTATGATGCAGTCGCGTCAAAATGTTTGTATAAGACAGCGACAGCAACAATTTTATTCCTCAGTTAAATTTATCTGAAAATTGTAAAATCAGCCCTAAGAAAAGCACATTGTTTATGAAGAAGATCAGTTTAGACGTAATTTTCTCTTAATAAGGATAGAAACCAAAGATTTCAAGATGCAAAACGGAAATTCATATTTTCTTGAAAACATTGAAGCAGTTACATTTGTAGCAAACTGCAAATAGGCGAGAAACTGCTGAGAATTGTAGAGCGCGACGCTGTTAAGGAATATGAGTCCTACCATGGCTTGAAACTAGACGGGTTATCTTGAGACATAATTGATTTTCTTGAAAGTTATACAAAACCAAAGGTGGTAAATAATTTTACGATCAACCTAAACTTGTGACAAATAGACCATTTTTTATATTGTATAAATATAAGTAATGTACAATACAGACTATATTCCTCTGATAAAACTGTGTAAATAGTTGCCTTATAGACATTATAATTAAGCTAATTTGGCAACTTTGTTTTAATATTGGTTTGGTTACCATGGTTACAGTTGGTTTAAAAAATGATTGAAAATAGAGTGGTTATGATATACAACTATAGAAAAGGAGTTTTTATAACAGTAGAATAATTGAAACATAATGAGTTATATAGATAGGAAAGTATAATCTGTATCTGTAATAGACAGAAGGCTATTTTCGTGAAAGCGAAAGCTTTTTGGTAAAACATTTCTGGCATTGTTTGAAGAATATTATACATAGCATTTTGATACTTACTGATTAGAAAAACGAAGTGATATTTTTAGTTGAAAAAGAGAAAGTTGCCAACTAGTTTAAGACAAAAAGCAGAACACAAATTTGTTTTGAAAGGCAAGAAAAATGAATCTCCAACTATAACCATGATAATTTTACGACTTAAGTCTCATTGTTAGCACAAGTTGAATACGTATTATTCAACATTCCTTCAATTGAATAACTACCTAAATATTTACAAATCAACTTAGCATTATAGAAGTCTTCGATTTAACATTTGACACACAGAAACTTACATTATACTAACCAATTCCAACATACAACAATTGCACACAAGTAAATCGCATATCAGTGAAATTTAACCTTTTTGCGTTTAGTAATAAGGCTTAAATACTGACTTGAGATTGACTGAACGATGAGAAAAGCTTGTGTAAGCAGCTGGGAAATTTATCGTCAGATTATATCAGTCTTTTTATTTTTCAAATCAGTTTATTGGCAAAGTTAGATGTATAAATGCAGATCAAGATTGTTAGGGTTTTAGTGTTCACGTTTTAAATTTAAAAAGTTAATTATATATTTTGCATCTGACGATAAACCAAACAGCATAACAAGAGAACCAATCAGACAACAAAATCAACTAGCGATTACGACTACTTATATCTAGTTTGTGAATTTGTGACACTACTCGGGAGGGGGCGGCGGTACCGGGGGCGGGGGCATGGCGGGCAGGGGAGGCTGCGGAGGCTGCGGGGGCGCCGGGCGCGGGGGCGGTTGGCTGTACATGCCGTAGTAGTAGCTGTCGAGGGGCACGCCGTAGTACAGCGGGGGCGGCGGCTGCACCATGTAGTAGGGCAGCGGGGGCCGGAACACGCCTGTGGGCACACGGACATTCCAGGGGGGGCCTACCTTGTGCGGCGCGGCTCCGTTGTGGCGCGCCAGCTTGTGCGGGGGCCCGCCGGGGGGCGCAGCCCCGCGCTTGCGGGACGCGTCCAGCACGTCGCGCGAGATCTTGATCTTCAGGCTCGACGACTGCGCCGGCGGCGGGGGCGGCGCCGCCAGCCGCTCCTTCGGGATCTTGATCTTGAGCCCCGGGCTCGTCGACAACTTCTCCTTCGGTATGGTTATCCTCAGCGCGCCGTCTTGCTGAGCCTCCACCGGCTGCGGCGGCGGCGGGCTCTCTTTCCGTTTCTCCTTATCCTTTTTATGTTTCTTTCTCTCCTCCTTCGATTTGTCCCGGTCCTTGTGTTTGTGTTTGTCCTTTTTCTTTTTCTCTTTCTTATGTCTGTGTTCCGGGAGGTCTTCTGCGGGTTGAGGAGGAGGTTCCACGACAACAGGTGGGGGAGGCGCGGGGGCGGGGGGCGGCTCTGGCGGGGGCTCGCGCTTTACTTCGGGAGACTTGCGTTCCGTCGCGACTGTAATGGGCGCGGGCTTGGCGAGGCTTTCCTTTAATAAGTTGGACACTAGTGTTGGATCGGTTTCGATACCATTCAATGGCCTGGCGGGCGCCTCGGGCTTGCGCTCAGGAGCCCTGTTTTTGATCGCCGAAATAGCCGTCCCTCTCTGCGAGTCCCGTATAACATTCTCATAGCCGGGCGTCTCGTCAATTTTCTTAACGACTGGCACGAGCTCTGGTTCTGAGGAGCTGGACTGTTGCCTTTGCCTCTGCTGTTTTGGTTGCTCTTTAGAGGGGGGCGAGGAGAAGGGGGAAAGTATAGCGGGGGGTTGCATTTCTCTGATAGCTGTAGTGGGGTCCGGCCTCTTCCTGTGTGGCGAGGGCGGCCTCTGTTCTTGTGTTTGTATGGGGGGCTGAGGTACTGAGGGTGCAGGAGGTGGCGTGGGCCGCACTTCGGGTTTGGGTCGATGTGCGGGGGGCGCCTGGGGTTGGGGCTGGGGCTGCGGTTGGGGCTGCGGCCGCCGGGGAGCAGCCGCGGCAGCCGCGGTGGGAGTGGTCGCATTCTCAGGCGAGAACAAGGAGGGGGGACGCGTTCTTTGAGGAACCACTTCGGGCTGTGAGGGAGGCGGGTGTGACGACGCCGTAGTGGCAGTGGCAGTCACTGTAGATGTTGATGGGCCGGGTATGGGTGGCCGATGATGTCTGTGGTCGTGTGGCGGTTTCTGATGATGAGGTTTGTGGGGGGGCCAGGGATGGTGTTGTTTATGATGATGTTGGCTGGACGGCCGGTGGTGGGGAGGGGGTTGTTGAGCATTGGGCCTGGGCTGTGGCGCTCCTGGCCTGGCTTGTTGTTGCTGCTGTTGTTGTTGTTGCAACGCTTGTTGTTGCCTTCTCTCTCTCTCCTCCCGCCTCTCCCGCTCCTCTCTCTCCCTCTTCTCTCTGTACAGGTTATAGTCTATTCTCTGAGGTTGTGGCTGTGGTGGCGCTGCTGTCGTAGCAGGTACGTACCCACCTGGTACCGGTTGACGTCTTCTTTCTCTTTCATACTCTGTTAACAAAAAAGGCAATAAAATATCTATCCCAAACACTATAAAATTAATTATTTGATTATTAATTCAGATTATTCAGACTACAGAGGCGAATTAGGTGGTCAACATGACAATACAAAAACACGCAAGTAAAACTCGTGAAACTCGAGTTATAGATCAATCTCTTTTATTATTAAGCATTAACATTTTACAAAATCAAGCAAAACCTAATGTAAACGGAAAATGATGAATGTAAACCGAATGAAAACGGAATAAACATACCTTTGTCGAAGGACTTGTCGATATCATCGGCGCCGGACGGATGCTTCTTGTCAAACGGTGAATTCGCGACGCCCGAGCCGGACGCGTTTGGCAACGAGTGAGGCGAACTGCCGTCTGCTGTTGGCATTCAAAATATTTTATATTATTTACTAGCTAAAACTATGTATGTAGATAAATAAAAAGTCCACTATTAATATTTATATATGGCTGAAAATTGGTAGGGAGGTAGCTAAGAACTGGGAGGGCATAGGACTAGAGTAGAGTAGGTGGTGTAGTGTAGGTAAGGTTGTAAGGGATTTGAGTATTAAACTTCGATAACCTCAATTACAGTATATTGCCTTGGATGTAATCAAGTTGATTTTCGATGAGGCTGTGGTATCACTGCATTCTAAAATTAGACTGCATAGCTATGGCAGTGACTAGACAACTGGGTAGTCGATATTCAAAAGTTCTCAGTAACAGGACAAATTCAGGTAAGGAGAACCATTGATAAAATCCCTCTATAGGTGTGTACCTATCCTTATTCATATATCAAAATTTCCTCTATAAGTAACTATATATTGTTCAGCGGGTACAGTACGACCGCCGTATCTTGGCGAGTCTGAAGTTAGCAGTTTGTCTGCGCAATGGGTCTTTTAGGAAAATTGTGTACTGCGCAGCTAATCGGCTAACTTCAGACTCACCAAGATACGGCGGCCGTATTGTTCTAACGTGACGTTTCGACCTGGTTGCACAAGTCGTGGTCAGGCAGACTGGTGAGTCTGTTTTCGACATACTTTTATAAAATGTTGTTAACATGAAAAGCAAAATTTTAAAAGTTCCTCTATAGGTGTCTACTACAAACATCATACAAATCCAACAACTTACCAGCTTTAACATTCATCATCTTCCTTTTAAGTCTTGAAGGACATTTCTCGAAGATGAGTAGGAACTCAGCGGTCAATTTCTCCAAGAGGTCCGTGGTAACTGACCGGTCAACATAGGAGAACCAATGGCGTCCCTCGTTTGACTGTGGTATCTGTTCATACCGGGTTATATTAACACTACATTGTATAAAACAAAGTCGCTTTATCTGTCCCTATATCCCTATGAGAAGACCTGAGGAGCTCAGTGGCGTGCAATTGGGGAGGCCTATATCCAGTAGTGGACGACAACAGGCTGATGATGATGATATCCCTATGTACGCTTAAATCTTTAAAACTACGCATCGGATTTTGATACGGTTTATTTAGTAGGTAGTAGTATCAACTTATTTCTTTGGGTTGGCACAAACAAGCAGACGGTTCAATAAGTGGTAAGCAATCAGTTTAGAGCTCTCGCAAAACTAGTCAAGTCATAAATACGTTCGTTGCTGGATACGTATTTATGACGTTCGTCAGCTGTGATTGGCCTACTCCAAGTTAATGATTCAAATGGCTCAGCGACCTACGAACTAAAAATACCTACTAACAAAGTCCTTTAATTGAAGAAAGTTTACAACTTACCGCCCAATTGCTCCATTTCGATGCTAAATGTATACAAAAACACGCGACGACTGTCGGTCTGTACTGTAGACACATCGTCGTCAAATGCAGGCTGTTAGACGCCATAAAATAGGATGTCTGCGCTAAATCCTTCGGCGCTGTGGATGAAGACAGGCGATTATCAGTAATTGTGGTCGATTGCTGATGTGAGAGGGGAATTTTAAAGTTATTTTTTATTGTTTTGGGTTTAAATTAGATTATTTATTGCTTAACATAAATAGCATTATTGAAAACTCAAATATTTTATTTATTGACATTTTCTTTTTGTTCTTTTTCTAGTATGTAAAAAGAGGTACAACGAAAGTATTTAAGTAATTTTAATAAGTATTATTTCTTTGATCAATTTCGTTAAGTTGTAAACCTGATTTATACCCAAAACTTCGAGACATTCTATAAAATATCCTAATAAGATATTACACTTTAGATGGAAGAAGCCAATTATTAAAACAAAGCAAACATGTCGTTTAAACTATGTATATTTTTACAGGGGAAATTTCGACTGACTATGCAGGTACAATCGACAAAAGTTATTCGAAACCCGGAAAGCTATAAATTTTATACTTATATAGGACTGCCTGAATAATTACTGATCTCTTTTTTAGTTTTTCCAACTTACAGTAAAGTTCAAATAAGAACAGCAGCAACTATTTTTTAATTATCAACGCGAAAGGTTTCAACATTTATATTTTGTCTTTATACTATCAAAACATTTAGTTCTAGGCTTAATCTGTTTTCCAATACGTTCTAGAGGGCTTCTCTTTAAACTGGTATACCACATAAAACGCTTCTGGTTAAAATGCTGTTCTTATTTCATCAATGTTTTTGTATAAAGCATCGTCACTCATTTGTCATTCAATATAAATATACAATATCAACATATTCAATAAGGCTGTTGGACATACCTATATTTTTTTTAAATGTCCGTCTGCAAGATTTATTTTTTGGATTAAAAAAACTGAGCAGTAATGTAGCAACTTATACAACAAACAAATAAAAAAGCGTGTATAATATTTCTTCACTGTCTAACTGACGGACTACCTTGTCACAATGAAAAACATTTGTCTCAATAAAACGATTTAAATAAATGAAGCAAATTAATGTTCAATTCAGATTTCTGTATGACAACCCTAACCCTATCTTTTTTATTAGCATCTTAACTGACAAATGAGTGTCGACCATATTCCGTAAACAGTAAAACAGGTTTTTGAAAACATTTATCGGATGGTGAAAATTAGAATAGGGTGACCGTGATTTACATGAGCGTGATTAGGAGGATGACACACAAACAATAATTCCTATACATATTCACATACCTGTGGAACATTTTCTATGTAGGGTAGGTATACATTGCCTTGGTACGCGGCATATTTTTTTGCCTTCGGACAAGTTCGGGGCGGCTAACGGATACAGAGTCGGTTTTGTCTCAATTAAAGAAGAACGTGTGGCTTCCATAGTTTGCCATAATGGCATATGAGAGGGATTTAGAAAAAGAAAAATAAATAATTTGATACAAAAACAGAAATCATACGAAAAGGGAATATTTCAAATTATTGAGTGACAAAGAATAAACATGACCTTTCCTGGTCGAATCCAAGGGATACTTTTAAGAAGGGGGTTAGTAAATCAATAATTATAGTATTTTTTTCATTGCCATAAATATTTTTATTTTCATAAACAATTTACAATTCATTTTCTTCACTAATAAAAGGAATCAACAAAAAATGGAAGTCAAACGTTTATAATCACAAACAACAACAATCATCAACAATTACACCACATGTAACAATGAGTCTTCAACAACGACAAAAAACCCCTACCTAGACACAAGAAATTCCGCCTATAGTACTTTTACTCAAAATTACATAGTGGTATATTTTGATGCGAGAAAATAATCCTCAAAAATTAATACACGAACCGGCTCGCACCGTACTAACAGCCGCTTAAAATGCCCGAACAAGCCGACACGTATAAAATAGCGCAAGCCGCCGATATCGCCGCGTGACGTCATCAGGACACAATGTTAGGACGCTTGCCTCACCTTTTACAAGGTGACACGTCCGTACAACGTGTGTGTGCGGGTGGTCGATGGCCACATCGAAACCTAAGGTCTGTAGGAGAACATTCTCGTTGAATACCAGGTCCTGCGCCTGTAACAATTAAAGAAAAACATACTTACAGTACCGTACATGATGAGTAACAGTACATGAAAAAAAATATCTAAATCGGACAACTTTTAAAAGTACAATCGGACTACATATTTATTTAATTCATTCATCAACGTTTTAGTATTTAACTAACAAAGTACACAATTATTTTTACATATGTTACTGTGAACTTAATTCGTAAGATAATAGGTTATAATTAATAACAGTATGTTTATAGTTTGTTGGAATTTTTTTTACGTCATTATACTTAAAATGTACCTATTTGATCAATAAATAAATAATAACAAATCTAGTTTTTTATACATAATTTTAAAGAGATGTTTTATGGCCTAGTAACGATGTAACGATGCATTAAGTAGTACCTAAATCGACTCATGTTTCTAAAATATTTTCGGGAATCTTTAAAAAAAGTTTATTAACTAAATTAGCTTAGCGTTCTAAACGATTTAAGGGAAATTTTCAATATAGATTTGCGTATCTGATTTGCTATACTTATTTCATTTAAAATCATTACCTGTTTGCCTGCTACTAGACTATGAGCTACTGTAAAGTCAAAGTCAAAGTCAAAATCATTTATTCCAACTAAACCATAAATAGGTACTTTTGAAACGTCAAAATAGAGAAGTAGTCTGTCAGACGGTTCGTCAGTGAAGCTAGGTGCTCATTCCAAATTGTAGTTTCGAATGGAGAAGAACGAGCAAAAGACTCCATTTGTTACTCAAGCTTCCATGTGACAAGTGAGGGTGTATAAAAATAACTATTTTCATAAAACTATTTAGTAATATTCCATTATTGGACTCCGGACAGTAGGCAAAAAGCCGTTTGAGATAAAATTATTCGTGTTATTTTGCCTGAGATAAGTTGTTATCCGATAAACAATACACAATATATTATTAAAAATGGCATGTTATAATACAAATTATAAAATATAAATATGACTAATCAGGGACCATACGTCTGTATGGAGACAGAGAGAGAATGGCTATTGGGAGAAATGAATTTGTTTTTTTATGACCTGAACCAACATTAGTATAGGTCAGATATATATTATATCTGATCTATACTAATATTAGTCTTTGGAACCGCTGGTCGGATTTCCAAAATTCTTTCACTGATAGATAGCTGCAATGATCTTCAGTGCCGTATATAGGCTATAAAACATCACGCTACAATGAAAGGGAGCTGAGCAGCGGGTGAAACAGCACGAGAGAAGCTACTATTATATAAAAATTAATCCCGATTTCGATTCCAATAATTATTTTTAATGCTGTGTTTGCTAAGGACTTGGAGAAGGTTCAAAGATATATTTTTAACGTATAGGAGCAATTCGTGAAATAGCCACCCTTTCGGTAGTGACTGGGAACACTGACGAAACAAATAACTGGCACCGAAGTAGTTAGTTGGACATTTGATAATTAATCTAGATATGGTGTTATTATAACACAACATAGATAAAATATTGTTTCACGACGATATTAAAAGACCATGGTATGACTGCGGTGGAGCCGGCCCATTAGTGGCAAAGCGTGGCTCTCCTAAACTACAAATTTAATGACGCACACATCTGTTGTAATCATTCATCCATTTTGGTCCGCTCAGAATAACCTATAGTTACTTTCGTTGTAGGAGCTGAGTCAATCCTTATTTTCTCACCGAACTATTACTAAATAACAGCTCAGACTTTACTGTTTCTTTATACTTAAGACAACTATCTTCATATTTTCACTTTAGCGACGGCCTAAGATCTAAGTGAGATCAAATGACGTCACAGTCACGCGTGTTAATCCACATTAAAGCGAGCAACGCAACGATTATGAACTAAATACGAGGCGACACGCGAGGTATTGAATAACAGGGGCGTGCAATGACTAGAAAATAATATCTTTTATAATCTGACAGGCACGCTATTCCATTTTAAAATATATTTAAAACCTTTAGTCCAGTTTTGGGATTTGTTTCTGTGTAGGAACATTTAAATAAACAACCAAATCCCTGATCACCACAAAGGATTGATTGAGATTATTTCTATGCAAAAAGACATTCACCTTGGTTCCTTTTGGATAGGAAAGCATTGTTTTTGTCATTAAGATATTTGACTATTAGGTATCCAAATAGCCTGTGTGCGAACGCTTGTTTTGCATAACAGCCGATGGCGCCGCCACCAAGCAAGTCTGATCAGCACCGACCATGACAGTTTCGTGTATGGCAGCGAGCGCTAACACTAACGTCTTCCAGGAGGTCACTGGTATGATGTCAGGTTTAGGCAAGTTCTCAGATCGGCTAATCGAAAAATCGTGAATTATATATAGAATTTAATATTACCTGTTCTTGATATTGTTCAGGCGTCAGGGCGGTGAGACTTTCACCTCGATGGAGGCATACATGTGCCACTTTTATAACATATTCTAATTTCCTTGGCTGTTCCTCCACCTGAAAAAACAAATTAACGATTAATCAATCACTAAGCACATAGTATAAAACAAAGTCACTTTCTCTATGCATGAGTGCTTATCTTTAAAACTACGCAACGGATTATGATGCGATTTTTTTAATAGAGCGATTTGAAGTGTGAGATCATGTCCTTTAAATTGTGGACAAATATAGTCTCAGCACTACCCGTGCGAAACCGGAGCACTGCCGTGGTATATCTATAATGCCGTTATCTGCTAAAGTCATTTTTTTTAATAATACAAAAAAACCGCGGCAAATTTTTAAACCGATGTAAGTTTTCGATTACAACACATATCAGAGATTTGAAAGTACCAAAACATAGATGAAATCGTATACTTTCGAACTACTTACCCTATCATATCGTAAATATAATTCAATGTCATGAAAAAGCGTTTTTTGTGTTTTAGTTTAACAGAGATGTAACCGAAAACATAATGGATCATCGACTAAAACGCCGCTGCGTATAGCGTAACGGCGTTTAAGTGTATCTATTTCATAGCAAATTATTGTTTTTTAAAATGCTAAATTTCATCACTTCAATGATTAACTAAAATGTTGTTATTTGCACATAACGACAATTTAGCTTACGATTACTATATTACAGAACTGATTCATATTAAACTTTAGTGCGTTTAACGTTACTTTACTGCTTTTAAGTCTGGTAACCTATATATGCGTATTAATTAAAAGGATAAACTTTAATAGTTGTTTAGCTAAAACGTGGTTTAACTAAAAACCTTACAATTTAACGACATTATAGCGTAATAATAAAAAAAAATGTGAATAATTTTATTGCACAAAATGAGTTATATTTATTGAAACTAAAAAAATATTTTATAAATAAAAGTCATAATATTATCAATCAACTAGTCTTTATTGACAATATTTCTTTATTGTTTTTATAATAATAAGTAATTATTAACTTATAACTTTCACAAAACTTTACTTAAAATTATTATAGATTTTTAGGAACTTTCAAACAAGAATCACATCAGTTATTTAGCAATATAATTATGTACTACTTGTACTTTAAAATACGAAAACAAAACAAAATTTATAGACAAACTTCAGTCTTTCATTAAACCTTAGATAACAAACAATCAAAACTAAGTCTTATCTTCTCCTTGAACTCAAAACTTTACATTTCTACTACTTATTATTTAAAAAACAATCATCAACTGAAAAACAAAAACAAAAAACAATTTTCCTTATTTAAATTTTTAGTTCTTACTTTTTACCTACATTTATTAATACCTTTTGGATAAAATTTATATATTCTTAAAAATACAGTATTCAAAATCGTATCACAGTTACATTACAAAATTAAAAATTATTATTTAGTTGAAATCAGTCTCAATAAACTTGCACTACTCTATATTATTATTCTAATCAGAACTTGTACCGGACTGTTCAATTTCTCTTGTCGGTAAGTTTTTCCAAAATAACAATTTGTGAGGGGGAATTATGTTCGATAGGTTTTTAAGTAAATCTGCTTTCCTCTTAGGTTCGATACCTTTCGGTTCGGTTCTAAATTTAAATACCATTGTACGTGGGTTTTTTAAATATCTATCATTCATGAAACGAAGGGTTGTATATGCATCATCGAAATTATTTTTATACATGAGATCATAACTTTTACGTACGAAACATACCTCAACTATATTTTTTAAATAAGCTCTTGGATTGGATGTTTGAATCCTTCTTTGGGACACATAGTTAGGTATATTTAAAAAGTTTTCTGGCAACATAGACTGAACGATGACTTTTGATTTATTTATGGATGATACACACTCTTCGAAATCTGTAAAATCGTAAAGCTTACCCTTTTTCTTCATAGCCAACTCTACCTGGTGATGCACTTGATCGCAGCTCATAAAAGTGTGGCCGGGTTCGAAGTAATATAGAGTTATTCTTTGTGTGGCAATATCTTCACTATTAATCATATGAGTGAGCATTGCATACAACAACCAATTTTTATTTTGTGAGCTACAGTTATCGAGCCAGATGTGTACTTTTTCAACATCTCTGTTACGCAATAGAAAATTATAAAATGCTGACATTATATCTTCTTGCCTTCTCCCTGCAATGCCATCATGCCAGATAACTGTCAGGGGTTTTAATTCTGCGGTAATCTTACCAAGTGGTGCAAAGGTTTGATTGTAAGCTGAAAGCCGTAGACAGAAAATTGCGGCTTTAAACATCTCCAATCTAGGCAACATAATTACTTTCTCTAGATCAGAGCTGTAGAATATCTGTGTATTATTTTGTGTTTCATCCTTATGTTTTTGGTATAGATCTCGCGCCTTTGTGTATCGTTGTCTATGATAACTCCAATCCACACAAACTGTACAGTTTTCAAGTATCTGGACTGTGGCGTCATGTGATGTTTCCTTTTTGTGGAAATTATAACTTTCGCACAATTCACATTCCTCGTTACCGAGGGCGGTAAAGGATATTTTCATATTTTTTAAATGTGATCTATATAAGCTGTACGAAACTTGTCTATCCGGGTATGTCTCACAAAAATGTTTATGCATTTGAGTTATATTTACATCACTTGGTAGATATCGCCTCAAAGGTGCATGTTCACGTCTATAGTGTGGTTCTAATGGATTAAACGATTCAACGTGCTGATTCAGTAAATCGCGATCAAATGCTGGTGTTTTCTGGTGTTTACCACGTTTATCTATTGAAGAATCAGTAAAAGTTGGATGTAGTATCCTGTCATTATTTTTCAAATATCCTAGAGTGGTAAGGAAAAATATTTTGCATACATCTTTTCTAGTGCCATCTTGTTTTTTCAATACAAAATTTCTTCTTGGATTCCTTTTGGGTTCACTCGTAATTTTTCTTTTTGGCACTGCTACGTAGGTGTGTGCTTCAACAAATGCATGCTGCTCCTGCCATGACATATCCCAGTATGATTTATTAATAGCCTCTCTATCCTCTTGGTTAAGTAGGGTCATACATTTCTTAAGGCACTTTTCATTGCACCCAGGTTTGACACAATGTTCCCTCTTTTTTTTATTTTTGGCATCCAATCTCCGCTGTTGTAACGGGGTGTTATGTTTCATTCTTTTGCGTGGTAGTTGTAGTATATCTGACAATGTAGAGCAATAATTGCCATCAACGGATTTACAGCGCTTTCGGTGACATAGTCGCTCGGGCGTAGTTTCCTTACAAGTACCAATAGAGTTTCTACGTCTACTCTTCAAATTAAAGAACATCCTATCTTCGTTATCCACAGGCAATATGGAACAGTGATTACCATTATTAGTTTTCATTGTTTTCTTCTTTGTTTTTCTTCCACTTTCAGGTACATCAGACATGTGGCTTTCTGAGGAATCAGATGGACAGTAATCTTTGTCAATAACGGAGTCGTCTGAATCAAAATCAAGAGGACTATTTTCACATGTTCCTTCCATATTTAATGGGATTTCTTCATCAAGCGGTGAAAAATCAAGTGGTAACATTAATTCGTTGCATGTTAAATCTATTTCGGTAGAATTTACAGTATTTTGATGAGGAGAAATTTTAAATTCGTTGAATAGAGACTGTGTACTTAAACTCAAAAGATGATGTGAATTATACGTAACTTGCGTCTCGCAAAATGTATCGAAAACGGTACTGGTCATAGAATAGGGTTCCGCGTATATTCTGTTAATAAACTCAGTCAGATCAGGGCCAGGTTTTGTTTTAGGTTCGGGTTGTTTCGGTTTTATCATATCCTGAGCAGGGTCAGGTTTTCTTGTAGGTTTGTATTGGTTTGATTTTTCCTCCTTAACCATATCTAAAATAGTTTGGGCTCTGCTCCCAGAGTTTCTGTAACAAAAAAATAAAATGCTGAGTGTCTGTACCTAGGTAAATGTATGTAAATGTTTAAGCAACTATCTCATGAACATATTGTAACAAAATCATGCCTGACAATTTGATCATCTGAACATATTATAATGCGATAAAAAATAATATTCAGATTGATTTACAAGTTTTTACGAGAAACAAAACAAACTTTATTATAAATAATATTAGTAGGATTTACTAGCAAGCAAACTATTTTGTATGTTTATTTCAATAAAAGTGCAAATGTAAAGTAGGTACCTTACCTATTCATGAACTAGAGTAAATAACAACTAACTTACCTAAATTGGTGGTTCGCCATATCGCGATCGTTGCAAAATTGGCGGGAACAAACCCGGAGCGACACGCGTCCTCACCCACAAGCTCCTGGCGATGCACTAGTTTCACCCCCGCCCCTTGATTTCGGTAAAGGATCGTTACGTAGCCGGTGTCCCCCCGCCCCGCGCGAGATCAGTTAACGGCTTTGTAGTGTATTAGTGTGAGATAACGTCTTTTTAGTCCAATAATGACGGACAATACATTTTTGATTAGTTTTGTAAGTGCCGCTAAAGGCTTCTACGTACATTAAATTAAAATATGAGTATCTCAAAAATGAAGCAATAATGCCGTTAAACATCGTTAGTCAAGTTTAAGTCTAACATTTTCAATTAACGACGTTATAGTTTAAAAAAAGCGAACTACTTTATAAAAAAAAAATATCCTATAAAACAGTTACAGTACCTTAACTGCTTTGTAGTGTACAAAGGACTGCTAACGGCAATTAAGACAAGTAACCATATAGACTTTTTGTGATAAAAATATGTGTTAATGAACCTTAGCGGCTTTATACTCATAAAGTTACTTAATGTCATTTTTGCTTATTTCACACGTGAGAAATATGTACTTAACGGCATTTTTTAAATTATTATTTTCAAAACTATTCAAGATATTGAAAATTCGCAAACACAGATCGATAGATCTTTTTTTACTCATTAATATAGCATCAAAAGTTGAAAATCGACCAGATGTTGGATAACGGCATTTTAGTTATACCACGGCAGAGCAGGTTCTTAGTATCGTATAAAAACTCTTCCGTTTGCGAGTGACAGGCAACGCACAGTCTAAACTATTCGCACCTTTTTGTGTATGGAAACTCTTCAAATTACTTTTTCAGACTTTAGTGAAGAGGGACACAGAGAGGGATCCTGACTAAAAACCGACCCGACTCCTAGGAGCCTTCTGGGAAGATTATGTTAATTGGACGATTATAGGACTGCACTTAGAAAGGTTTTCCTACCCTAAAATTCCTACTATGAATGAATAGAATGGACTTCTATGCCTACAAATTCTTTGACAGAAGCTGGTTACATGTTTATTTACTAAATAGAATTAACAGCCACGCAAATATCGCGTTGTTTGTTCATAATAACAGGTGTTTTTAAATGGGTAAACGACCTGATGTTATTACAGAAATAAACTTTGTTTAAGAACTGTCTAGAACTCGATAGCAGCGCCATCTACGTACAATGAATGTTCGATAAAATAAACTCTTTTAGCATTTAACTTTATAAAACGCGGTGTCAGGGTCTAAAGGCGACCCGTAGTCCAACAAAGGAGTCTGAAACGTACAGACTACAGAATTAGTAATGGACTAGCCCCCTAGTCAGTACAATACAGTTTATAGTATATGACCTCTTTAATTTTAGTTGCATTTTTGCCCAGACCCTTCAAGCTTCATCGGTTTGGAGCAAGAGAAGGAACAGGAGAGTTTATAGTCAGTAAGGGTCTGACACTCTTGCCTTGCCATGGGCAAAAGAAGTCATTTGAAAATGTTTACCTTACAATAAAAAATATGATAAATAAACGGTAATGGAAGACAACAACTAGTATATTTAAAATAACGTCTCGATGACCTTGAAAACGAACAAAAATTGTATATAGTCTAGTTACCCGTCTAGTAAATCAAGGTTGTCTGTGTCTATTTTATAAATTCATGTACAAGGTGGGCGTATTGGCTGTAGTATATATTTTTTTCATTATTATATTCGTAGAAGTTTGATACAATGTTGTTGAGGCCCTCGGATAATTTGCGAGTTTGTTTTAAACTTGATTAAACGTACTCGAGTGTACGTGTATACTTGTAGACGTCCCGACATTCACACTATAATTTATAGGAGAACTTTCTTATAACAATGTAATTGTTTACTAAAAAAATTAAAGTAAATATACAATAAAGTATGTCGGGCCAAATTTTATGACAAAACCGATGTTTATTATGGGCAAAAGACGAACTGTATATAGACATTCGTGCCCTACATACAAAAGAATTCACCAGCGAAATCCACAAGCAAAAATTGGGACGCGGTGTTAAAATAAATTGCAGATTTCCGGTAACTAAATAAAGAATCTCATCAGCCCTCCGCGGGGCCCATAACATTATAATATCTTCGAAAATATTCTCAAATAAATTGAGGTATACAACGAATAAAATTAATAAAACTGCATCATTGTTAAGCGCTGTTTTCAAGCCTAAGATTGCAAAATCCTTTAAATCGCGAGCAAATCCTTATTAAGTATTTTGAAATTCTTGCCCAGACGTCTGCAGGTAGCCTCATTAGAAAAAATAACTTTTAGCATTAACCTGCTCATTGCTGAGTACAGGCCTCTTATAGTGAGAATGAATTGGTAAAACATTAATGCAAATAACAATTTAGTCTCATATTTAAGGACTGATTTTTCACTTTTATCTAAAAAGTTAACTGGGGAATAATTATGATGCTATCGCGTCAGAATGTTTGTAAAAGACAGCGACAGCAACAATTTTATTCCTCAGATAACACCTGACTATTGAAAAATCAGCCCTTAATTAGATACCTCACAACATAACTGGTCTTAACTTCGTTGGATTTTTGGGACATTTTGAGGGTGTTCTAGATATTCTAAGGATAAAAATAATTGTAAAAACATACCTTTGCGGCGAGAAACAATGCGGCGGCAGCTATTGCGTTCCTGTGGAACTGTGTGAAGGAATGGAACGCATAGAAGCGGTGCATGTAAACTATCGCCGTGTTGATACATAGTTGAGAGCTGTTGGTAACTGGTTAAGGAACTATTTTTTTGTCATACACATACACAAAACCAAATTAATGAATCATGTGCTTCACATTGACGACAAGATTTGACCTTATTTCTGCCGTTTTTCCGCAAAAATAAGTGTATAAGCGTGTTGTGTGGGGTTTCTTCTTTCTTCTAAAGTTCAGTGTGGTTTGTAGGCTCGTTTTCTACATTTCCTCAAGCATACATCATCACCAAAATAAGTCGAAACTACAGATTTTCCATTCAGTCATCAATTCTCTCGCTCACAGTCATAGGATTGCAAGTAGGTCATCTATCTTTCATTTCATGAAAACTTTCATACAATTTGTACTGTAACAGTTATTCTTCAAAATAAGCATATTAACAATCGAGTTCAAATGACTCATGCATTAACTTAACAGGAAGCTAAAATAAGTCCAAACAAGACCTTTCTTAAACAATTAACATGCGCTGCAGACATACAGGAAAAATTATCGAGAAACCGCCACGAATTCGATTTCGCAAGCCCATTAATGGATCCTTGGAATTTGGGTTCGTTAATCGTAAAAAACCGGTACCACCTGGACGGCTCGATTAAAATTTCACGTACGATCAAATAAAGAGTTCTCATTGGTCAGAATTCATGGGACTACATCACACGGCTATCAATCAACCAATTATATCGCGTCAAATGATTGTCGTAACACATTAGTTCCTATTTCTACGAATAGATGTCGCTACTAGTAGTACAATAGTTACTATGACTATCAAATCGTAGGTAGCTATTATTCTTGTACCTACGGAATGTTTGTAATTTAGCATAAAATTCAAGGCCGTCGATTGTTAATAACATTCGTTCTATTTCTTACTCCATTGATAACTGATAAACGCATTGTACACGATTGCTTACAGATTAAACCTTTAGCTTATAATACTACGAAATTGTAACATGCAAAATGTTTGTGCCAAGGTAGCCATTTTGATTTCAAATGAAGAAGGACATGGAAATTTTGGTGGTTTTTCATAATTCATGGGTTTTTACCATCAATTTTTATGAACACGCTAAATACCTTGTAACTCTCATGTAAAAAATAAGGTTCACGCACGATGGCAATAATTTAAAATAATAAACCAAATTGAAATAACAAAAGGAGTGGACTTTGGCAACATTAAATTCTTATGTTTGTATGTCTAATTAATTGTTCTGCTGACAAACAAAAAATAAACATCATTATGTCAATAATCTAAGACACTTTCGAACAAGTTTATTGGGTAAGAATGTACTAGGTATTTGCCTGTTAAACATCATTATCATAGACTACAAATCACTAACACAGAATCAATGTCAAGGCTCCAACCTCTTTAGAATAAGACGATGACCTTATTTCCATATTCGAAAAAAAAAGGCGGGAAATGAGGAAAATAACGTTGAATATGCATAGGTTTTTTACAAACGTAAAACTTGGCTATTACTTTGTATAGTAAGAGTAGATTTATTAACATAATTAATTTGACTACAAAAATGCTATATTCGTATTTATTGCATTATTTTGTTCAAGGATACTAAAAGAAAGGTCCAATTTAGGTACGTATGAACTGAAGATAATGAGGGCGCAAAGGAAGCTTTACGCAAAATCATGTGTCGAGAGAACGGATGCTTGCAAAAAACTCGTCAGCCATCTTTTCTTTTTTCATAATATGACCCAATTGTAACACGTTTTCGAGTGTTCAAAATGGAGTGGGGGCAAATCTTCACTATTAATTGCCCGGCAACATCATAATCTGTATTTTTGTTCAGAAAATCGGTTTACAAATAAGAAAGGTTAGGTACATTTCAAGCTGATTTAATGGAAAATCTTTACAAGGTTTTCAAATAAGTATTCTAACCAGATTATTAGGCCTTGACCCTGCCGAAACGGTAGCCACATTTACATTCGTGTACGCACAAACCGGCGTCAAAACTCATGTTTTAAAAATAACGAGAACTTTGCCCGTGGCGTCCCGACACGTGAGGTGTACCACGGAAATTGCCAGAATTCCTTTCTTAGTATATTTCGACATAAGAAAAGGAAAACTTTGACAAAAATTTCCATTTTTCCGACCAAACTGTCAAATTGGTAAGATAATAATTAGTAACTTGGTGCTGTTTTCCGATGTGTCTTGGCTTTGATGTGTTAGGGATATCTGTCGATGAATGCACTGTCTGGGAGGGCCGTCGTGACGTCAAGGCTACAGAACAATAAAATACGAACAAGGAACCTTCTCGAACATATACAATTGTAAGTTTAACTGATGGAAGATAACTTTCACTTAGTGAAAGTTAGACTAAACCATGAACTGACTTTCTAAAATGGGGGCAACTGTTAGGCTATTCTGTTATGGGGTATCCGTTTATCTGAACTTTTTATTAACATTTAAATATCTTTACAAAATAGTCTTACAGACATTAGCCGTGCGTGCGCCATTTTTATTAGACGGACATTTTGCAACTGTTACTAGTTCAATGGAATCGCAGCATTGCCATAATCGTAAACAGCCCCTTAGGTAACTGTGCAAAGACACAAAAAAATCTTTCGCCGTTCTATTCAAAAACTTGTATTGAAATTTTACCTGTTGTAGCAAACTCTCCAACTATAGTTCAGTAATCCATAACAAAAACATAACACAATGGTCTAGAGACGCCATTATGATTCACGAATACGACCACCTGTATTTGCTTGCCCTCTATTACAATTTAAGTACAAACGCTAGGTTTTTCAACTCTTCCATAGATTTAAACGTTGCGACTTTGTAATAAAGTTTAAAGTCAAACTATTGAGTAAATTCATCCACTTGTAAGTAAGTATTGACATGAAAGAATCAACAGGTGAAGTGGGCTCTTGTACTACGCACTTATTCGCTTAGCTATTTCAGTCAATATTACGCGTAACGGTATAAACTCAATACTCAAATAACCGAAACGTTTGTCTAGAAATCACACATACTGGAGACAGAAAGACGATCTGTACCAGCAGCATAGAATTTTTTTCCCGCGGTTTCACATGAGTCTACTAAAGGACTCTACGATAAACCTGACATTTTTCAACTGCTATTTCCAACCTGCTTGCAAAGCTTGGAGCGTTATGCTAAATCCTGTATGTATACAGGTTGGAGGCCCGTAGTTCGGAAGAGGACAAGGAAAAATACGTTTTTTTTAATCCTCTGATTGTCATGGTCTGGAACGGCCAGCGGCACATTCACTGCTTTTCTCAACTTATTTGTCATTGTAAGGATATAAAAAATACTACTAAATAACCCTATAGACGTAATAAACTTTAATTAATTCATATTGCTTTACGATTTCCTAGAAAATATAGAGGAAAAACGCAGTGTAGGTACATTACTTTTAATGTTTTAAGTCGACAATTATTTATTTATTATAATGTAACCAAGTTCTTTACCTACAATTTTATGTATAAAATAAATAGAATATTATTATGTACACAACAAGGAAGTTGGTGATACACTAGACATAGTATACTTAAGTCATTGCACAATATGGCTACCAAAGCGAATATTGTATGACTCTATCATTTTTCCCGTTAAATGTTTGTCGCAAAATATACTGGCATAAATAAATACCTATAACGAATTTATCTTGATGACTCGATGATTCATACGTGTTCGTATGCAAAGTAGTACTTCATATTGTATTGTAAAACATAAATTATTTACAGTTGATAATGTGAAATTTTACCATTTGTTGTTCTATTGAGGAGCTGGACTAACAGGAGTAATACTACGATTGCGTTGTTTCGGTATGTGAGTGAGGTTACTGGACGCCCAATCCCCATCCTCAATCCTCCCATCTTCAAATCCCTAACCTACAAAAGACCAGCAACGCACTTGCAATAACAAATCCTGTGGTACATAATGTGGGTGTCCAAAGGGTGCTAATTGCTGACCATCAGGTGTTTCATAACCTTTGCTAGTTTGCCATATCCCGTAAGAATATGCATGTCATGTAGCAATTTTAGTGTAAGTTAGTTATGAGGTTAAATCTAAAATTTGTCAAAATTGTACTACGAAAACCAATGAATATGTATAGGCACCTCTGCGTTTAGAAAAATCTTATCAATAGAGTTAATTTTATTAAGAAATTACTATTAAGATCTAAGATAATGGTAATGTTTATGTATCTAAATGTGTCACGCGTCTAAATAAGACGTCAATAGACATTGCACGAGTCTGATATCACTATAAAAAGGAGTGAGTACGTCAGTGTTTTTGTTTAAAAATTGTGTCGATAAGATTGAGTAGTGTTAGGTAGGCATTATCAAGTTATGATTAAGTATAATACACGGATATGCATTGAAAACTAGACGCAGATAGGTAAATTTCTGAGTGATATTCATATTTATTTATTATGATAAGGTAGGCTCACAGCTTATGTATACAAAGTAGTTAGAAGTATTTGTTATAAGTAGTAGGTCTTATACATTGGCCAGTTGCGAGCTAATCAACATTCTTATGAATGTAGTGTAGATGAGGTATAGAAAGGAAGGCTAATTTGAGTTCCATGACTACTACCCCAATTGAGAAGTGTGATATTGTCTGTATTATTAAATCAGACATATTCTAATCACCTCAAAACATACAACTTATAAACTATAAACCTACCCTTAGGTTCAAACAAGACAATAGCATAAATGTCCTAAAGAAATACCTTGCAAGCGAAACCACGCACTTAGCAAAATTCTCAGAAAAACTTTCACAATGATTTTAAAAAATTGCGTAACACGTGCTAAATTAATTTAACTACGCTACCAAACATGATAATTGTATTAAAACCAACGCAACATTAAATTTATGTAACTAGGTTTCACCTATGCTTCGTTTTGAGGATTTATTAATTATATTTCCTTGACCCGTGCCTAAAGCCATTTGACAAAGGTGCATAAATGATAAAACAGACACTTAGAACTTCACTAGTTTTATTACCAGTTTTATGCAAGGGACCCGCTGCTAAGCAGTCATAAACTGAATTATTGTATTTGTTGTGCTAGTACTTGGAATGTTAACAATTTCCCAAAAATCTATCTACAAATTTCAACTCGGGGCGAGGTAGTCGGTAATTTTTAGGGGATTTGAGCACACAAGTAGACAGATGATAAATGATCAAGAGCCATTTATGGACATTCGAAACAAAAAAGGATCATAAGGGCATTGCTAACCTTCTTACTACAAAAACTTTATGGACATAAATTAAGTATCAAAATAGCAATAAAATAAACTCTCTTATTGTTTAACTGTCACGCCACATGACCAGTTCAAGATAAGACAGGTCAGGGACAATTAGCATAATACACAAATTGTTGGAAATCCCAAAATATTTAGTCGCAAACAATGTTACATAAAAACAATATTAAATTGTAGTTAAAATAACATTATAAAACAATTTGTTAATTAAATGTTGAACACTAATTATTGGGTAAATATTAATTTGTGAGTTATTAACCGAAAATCTTGAAATGGAGAAGTAATATGTTTGAATTATATAAATACTAAGTAGCCATTTTGTATACAAATAAACATGTTGCATATGAAATGTGTCAATGACTTCTGTTATATAAAATGCAATAGAACAGTCACAGGTCACTAACCTTTTAATATTATCATGAGATGACTACAGTCATGTGTAATCACGTGTATTTTGTACACAAACAAGTATTAAGATGTTTATTTAGTTCTAATACTAATGCTAAGTTTGATACAAGTCTGGTGACGTCTTGTCACAACATCGATATCCCATGTAATGATTATGATGTCAATCTTTTGGGATATCAGGACAGTGACATATGAGCCAGAGAGAAAAAAAATGTGATGGTAAAGTGACAAGAACCCGACCAAAGCCACTATTCAACACTGACAACACCCGGGCCACAAAAAGGTATACTATGCCAATCTTGCAAAAGGAAAAACCTACTTTCTAAAGGTATTTTATTTTTCTTGAATTTAAAGAATTTAAGTTTTTGAACTGTGCAGACTATTAATATGTATTATTAAGGCATGAACAAATTCACACAAATCTGATCTGAGTGTACAGATGTGTACAGATAAAGATGCACCCACAACATAGGACTAAATTGCATGTAAGATGACTTTGCAAATTACTACTCTAGATACATTCGTAACAGGAAAACATTTGCTATAATCTTGAATGCACTTTGGATTTTTATTATATTATTGTTGCACAGCAATTGAAATTCAAAGCACTTAAAGACTATCTTTGGTGAAAGATAAGGGCTGTGTACAAATAACATATAATATAATAGTCTTTCTTATGCATTTGAGGGACAAATTTTTAGAGAAGTCAACATATTTTATGATATGACAGAAATGGCGGTATGTTCATATCCAGCATAGGATGAACCTACGTGTACCAACATGATAACAAAAATAGATATACGTATTTAACAGGTAAAATCATAACCGTTTCAGCTTTCGCCACAGAATATCTTTAACACCCAACTGTTAAAACTCAAAGATAATTAGAAATCAATAATTAAAACTTTACATCATTGTTAATATGAACCTTAGACCATTATTCAATTGAAAAGCTAATCTTAGAAAAAAAAAGCAGAATGGTAAGACATTCACAAACTAAAGGCCACAAAAAAGGTCAACCTTCCAAGAAATGTGCTATTATCTATGGCAAAAGAAGACAATAGACCTCAAAAATTTGTTGTTCAGGAGACTAACTGACCAACAAATTTGAAGACAACTTGGTGACTGTATTGAGCATATCTTGGTGAATGAGTGGCAGGAACTGAAACTAATTGTTGTTCCAGGTCAAGGTGTGATGTGTATGTTGGACACACCTATGAATTCAGCAAAATCAGAGCAACTAATACCTTCGAAGGAGCAAGTTTTCAGAAGTGGCTGCCATGATTTTTATGAAATCTTGTGGCTTTGGTGACCAAAAATCAATCTAGCTAGTATTTATTATCAGGAAATAAAAATACTGAGCAAAACTTACTCTATGTTAAGTAAAAAGAAAGTAAAAAACAAGATTTAGAGACAAATAAAACAATGTCATTATAATTGACTTCAAATAATCATTTAAAATAAATAAATAATAACACATTCTGCTTTACATTTCAGTAGGTTCATGTTGAAATTAGCATTATATCAAATTAGATCATCTTGTAGATAATATAGTGGAGGCTATTTCATTGGTAGATTATTTATCTTTGAATATTATCTAGAATATTCATACTTAAATGGATCATTGTCTAAGTTTTCAATGACTTTTTAAAAAGTAAGAAATGGTTTTATGGATATGATTGAGTTGGAAATCGCATTTTCAAAGGTAAAGTGTGTCAAACAATCTTGGTACAGGCAGTACAGAAGCATTTAAGACCCATGAAAAGAATAGGATCAGGGAAAGACGAATTTTACTCTAACATCCTATATTTGTACTGGTATCAACATAAAAACTAAACTTCATTTTAGTTTGTTGGTATAATCTTATCTCTGAAACTACTGGTTAAGATATTAGAAAAGATTTTGAGATTAGAGTAACTAATTTTTGAGGTAGGTTAGTTAAATGAACAATTGTTTTTTGTGTTGATCCACTGATCAAGGAAGGTTGTTGACTAGGCATAATTTAGCAACCAATGGTAGGTGAACAGCAGGTGAAACTATATCCAAAAGCCTAATCATTAAATAATCAAATGGAAAAAATACTAAAAACCTTAAAAGTTTCAATGTTTAATGGAAAAGGTCAGTTATTTAACAATTGGAGGTCAAGGATTCCACCTTGGCATTCACAATGCAAGGTTAAAACTACAAATGTACCAATGTACCGTTATTAATTTTTGTAGCAAAACTACTTTATGTAGGTACCTTAGTTATGGATGAACGAAGCATGCATTAAGCTTCGAAATACAATAAATTAAAGAAATCAGATTACTTTGTAATCTACCCTAGTAATCTGGATTTTTTTTTAAAACAAATTACCTAATAATGATGGTATAAATTACTAATGATACAATTCCCTAATGATTGGTTTTAAAATCACACTAGGAACTTAGGTAATATAATAAAAGCAAATGTTTGTATCTATGAATGAATGAAGAAAGGATTCAGTTGAAATTCGGCATAGAGACAGATTACAGTCTGGAATAAGACTTAAGTTACTTTTTTAGTATGGTACTGTCAAAAGTCAGTGAATTATAAAATCATACTATTACTACTGCTAGAAATAATAGGGGGCAGGCAATATATTGATGTCAAACTTCATTCGAGCAAATGAAATATTAAACTCATCCACTGAATATGTTTTTTTGAAAAAAGTTTCCGCTACTTACTAGTGGCACAAATGAGAGTTTACTATTATAGGTATGATCCAAGTAAGGAGGTTTTAATATTCTTAGTAAGATCAATGATAAGAGGAATATTTTTGTGTATTGAATATCAAGCTGCATGTACTTGAGTAGCCTTATTTAATGTTGATTTATCTTAAACCATGTCCAACTACCCATAAAAGAGGTTTTATATATCATTATTTGAATAAAGAACAATACTACAGTTACATATTTCTGTGAACTTTGTTGTAACAGGAAAAAATTCAAAATAACCTCACTGCACATTAATTTGCAATAACAAATCATTGTAAAATTACATTACATTCTTGATTTTCCTCAATAAACTTTGTTTAAATGCATTGTACTACTGAATTCTAGTGCAAATTGTCGCCCACGACGTACATAACTGTATTTTGATCAGGAGATAAGTACACGCGTCGAATTTAAGTTGGTAACGTTAGAAAATACGCGTGTTATCATATTTATTGCTTTCATGTACTAGGAAAATATGATAAGGTGAAGATCACGAACGAATTACGTTGAAATACACGCCACGCGCGTGTACAATGTAAAAAGCGTTTGTATCGAGTAAATTTAGCTCGGCAGGTCGATCACTCAAAGCCCTACGTCACCCGCGCAAGCGTTCCGTCGACTCAGCTGTAAGATCAGTGACCTCGAGAAAAAACCACGCTATCATGCGTGACCCTAACCTAAATACAAACATTTCATACTTTTCAGACCCTTTCATACATACTATAACTTACTTACCTGTAGAAAACGAGCCGTTACTCACTGTCACGCGGGAAATCCCACACTACAAAGCGAAAGTGGCCACAGTGACGCCGCGGGCCACAATCGAAGTTTCATCATCTTTTTCCACTGTATTTCACCGACACAACACACTTTATGCACTTATTTGGTAATTGAAACGCGTGCTAACGACAATTACACTACTAAAAACACTTTTAGTTAGCATGTTATACGCACTTTAAGCACATGACTCGACAAAAACATTGAGCTGAAAACACCACATTTTGAAAAAGGATACACTTGAAGCCTCTGTCCCATGTCCTGTATTAAATTCGCGGCCTGCTGCCGATATGCCAATTCTTTATCTGCATCTAAACCGCATTTTCTGCTTGGAGAACTGAGCAATTGTTCTTTTGTAAAATACCATTTTTCTTGCCCACCAGCCATTGAGCGGATATTCCGACTGCGCGCGAGAAAGCACGACGGAGAGCAGAGCTCCGTCTAAGTGCGTGAGTGGGAAAGGGATAGCGCTATGACAGCGGCGACCGGACGTAGACCACGTTAACATTTGAGAGATTTAAAACTTGTAATTTAACATTTTGAATGTACAACACTGATATTTATCACTAATTAACAACTAAAAATAAACTTGGTTTTTTTAAAAGTCCAAATCAATTATATAACACTGGAGAAAAATTCGTCACAACACAAATTCTTGGTAGGTATTCTTAAACGGACGCCATTGTAAAACTTGGTGGTCAACGCAGTAAGGTCTCCGGTGACAGAATGCGGATCTGCAACAATCACAGGTACGTTTCACGTTATCACTATGCTTTATTCTATTCTTTAAACATTTCGCTTTCTTTTGTGTATATTTTTGAGACTATTCATCAAGTTTTGAATGATAATTTTGAACTTTAATTTTACGAACCTAAATACTCTGTCACACCGTGCAAATGGCCGACCCACCACTGTTTACAATACACTGTTTTATTTCTTTAGTGAAAAACATAACTATATAGTTAAAATGATAACTAATGATGGCATAATTAATTAATGATTTTTTTAGTAATGATTCTAGTTATAGATTTCTTGAAATATGGATAATTAATTAATGAGAATGAATATTGACAATGTACCATTGACTCGATGAAGTGAAATTTTGCGCGGCTACGTGGAATAGCACGATTACAACGAAAACAAAAAAAAAAATTTTTCTGGTACCCTTATTACGTAATATTAAGTAATTTTTCATTCTTAAAAAACATTGTTGTACGTTTCAGTGTGTATTTTTGATATTTTTGTTTATTACAGTTTTTAATTATCGTCCAAAATATGTTTCCGTTTAGAAGTGAACATTTTAACAAGCTGAACGCTCATAACATTAGGATTACTGAACGTAAGTTCACATTGTTTTTATATTATTATCATTTATCAATCACCAAATACCTAAGAATACCTAAAATTAATTAACTAATAGTCAGTAATTACTAATTATCTGTATTTTATTAAATATTACCATATTTATAGTAATCGCACAGATTTTTCTTAGAGCCTAACCAAACTGAACTTACCTATTAATTATAATTCAAGGTCGCTCGCTCACTGCACTGCGTTTTTACTTTAGGTAACCAATTTAGGAATTTGAATAGTTAACACATTAAATAATATAGGTATATTAACTGCAAAACTATTTAACTTTATAATACTAATAATGAAAATGTTGTTTTGAAAAATTGGCGGGTAAAATGAAACAGAAAGAACTTAGACCTAAGGAGTAGGTATTCAAAACAAACTGAACGGGTTTATATAAAAACATTTACTTATTATTTCGTATGTTTATATTTATAAAACAAAATTAGTCGGTTAGAATAGTTTTCTATCATATCAGAGATGAGAGCCAATTCCAGAAGAGTTTAAGTACCTGGTATCAGCATTCTTTGATTCAGAGACCAAAGCGGAAGTCTCCGGAGACCGCAGCCAACCAATTGTGGAGGTTACGATAAAGTATCACCAAAGCAATGGTTGAACTTTATTCAAGACTTCAGAAACAAAACTAACGGCGCTTCACCGGCGGCCCAATAAACCCTCCAATTCTAGATTTCCTTATCTCTTTTAGGCCGGTAACGCACTTGTAACCCTCTTGGTGTTACTCACGACATGGATGCCAATTGCTTAACATCAGGTGATCTGCAAACTTGGTTCTGTCAAAAGACGGGCATACGACCGGATGGATGACCTGATGGTAAGCAATCAACGTCGCCCATGGACACTGGTAATACTAGAGGATTTGCAAGTACGTTGCTGGTCTTTAAGAGATTGGGAATGTAGACAGAATTGGACCTCTGGTAACCTCACTCACAGAACGGAAACATTTTTTCAAGTTATTCGGCCGTGGTTACGTGGTATCACTTCGGACGAGTCGGCCCATTCGTGACGTGTCGCCGAAGCATGGCTCTCCCACACTTAGATTATGATTGTCACCTTATCTCATAAAAATGTAAAAATATCTGCTAAACGACTCTTTTTCCTCAACGTTTCCAGTTAATCCGTCAACTTCAGCCATGTCGCAGCCTCCAGGCAAAGTGATCCATCTTCCAAAAGTCAGGATGCTTAGTCGCGGCGGTAGAGTGTCGTCTGGAGTACGCATCACCAATGTGAAGTCAATTAAACCACCAGACCCTGAGATTCTGAAGAAACAGGAAGAGGAGAAGCTTAGAGCTCAGGTATTAAGTTTTTGGCTGTACCCTAACAGGCACTTTGAACGTCAAAATCAAATGTTCCGCGCCTCAGTAGAGGCGAGACGGAGAATCAGACTCCTACAGACAAAAACATGAGACTATTGCGAATCGGACACAAGTACTATAAAATTTCAATCAGTGGTTTCTTTCAGACTGACGACTGTACAATAAAATAATACGTAGACAACATTTTCCTAATAATAAGAGACATAATTTCCTAATTGTGCTAACAGACGTATACTTCCATGGACGAAGATGATCACTTACCATCAGGTCGGAGGATACATAGATCGTTGCCGTCCGATCACATAAAAAAATGAAGCTGAATGCCGCAACCCCAGAACACTAGCGAGTGTGTTTCAGGCCTTTTGGGGATTTCGGAGATTTATTTAGGTATTGGGGAAGAAGACGGCGAGTAAGGGTAGCTCGCCGCCCGACCAGAACCAAACCCGAGCGTACTGCGCGTAGCCTTCCGCGCGCGCCTCAAAGAGCCAATAGACTATCACAGACGGGGCCCTATAGGGCTGATGTTCAGCCGGGGTTGCGGGTTAAGCGCAAGGTTAGTTGCCTGGGCGGGAGAAGTCATTTGATGATTTACTCCTGATAAAAAAAAGGTATTGTTGAAGAAGCATGGGGCCTTCAGTAACCTCACTTACACGGCGAAACACAACGCTGTGGTTGTTTCACGTCGGTTTTCTGTGAGGCCATGGTATCATTCCGGACGAGCCAACCCATTCACACTTGTAAAATCAAACTCTTCTCACTTTACAGCTTCAGAAGGAAATTGTGTCCCGATCCCGTCTCTGCGCTAACAAAAGCTACGAATGCCTTCTACCAGTGATATCTGGGCGTCAGTACTGCTACCGGCATATCACAAGAGATCCAACAGCTCCATATAGACAATGCAACCATACCTTCAGCAATGGAGAGCGGTGTAATATGCCCGCTCCCATAGACTCCAGAGACCATAGGGATCCAGGGTGAGTTGAATAAATTATTAAAACTTTTTATTTTGATATAAAATCATTGCGAAAGTAACTCTGTCTGTCTGTCTTCCCTTCACGCCTAAAGTACTGAACCGATTTCTGTGTAATTTGGTAGAGACGTGGTTTGGAACTCGAGAAAGGACACAGGATAGTTTTTATACCAAAAATCTGCCAGAAATGACTATTCCAAGCGAACGGAGTCGCGGGCAAAAACTAATTTGTTATAAACTAGCTAGTCTCGCGCTGTATCACATGCTGCTTGCCTCCTACAGATCATAGCGTGATGTTTTATTGTCTACTCATAGCCTTCCTCGATTAATTGGCTAACAAACACAAAAAGAATTGTTCAATCCGAGCCAGTAGTTCCGGAGACTAGCACGTTCAATCAAACAAACAAATTCTACAGCTTTATAATGTGAGTAAGATTAGCATGGATTTGAGAGCTTGTTGTTTCTATCTCTATACATAAGATCTCTGCCAAAATTCAGCGATGCTAGACGTTTTATTAATACACAGCCTATAAAACATTTAAACACGTCAACATTTTATGAGAAAAAACTAGATGAAGTCATGGATTGTACTTAGTGCTAATCGGACTATAGCTGTTAATCCCATTTCATAGTTCCTATTTTATATTTCAGAAGTTCTTAAGTTCTCTCCTACACGTCCTAAGCTACTGTAATGTAGTTTGGACTGTGCACTTAGATCATCAGCCTAAAAGTGTCTTCTGCTAATCCAATGCCTCTACAAGGTCGTTTAAATTAATCACCAATCTCGCACAGCCGGATTGGCGATTTTAAATTTGTAATTAGAAATACTAAGTCCAGGTTTTCGTACTATGTTTTCGTTCCATCAGTAGTGCCTAGATAAACTTAAAAAGTTCGTATAACTTGTAAAACGTATTGGTATTTTCCATGCTTAAAACCCACATGCATGAGAAGCAGGCCCCATAATCTCCGGACACCTCGAAATACATTAAAAACAACGTGTTAGATTAGAATTTGTAACTTATACAAAAAATACCACATGTTAGTTCAACCTCTTTTTTGTTAAAAAAATAAAGCCATTAAAATACAATAAAAACTATAATCTATTCAACTCTAAATAGGTTTACTTATATGCGAACTATTAAAGTTTTTACTAAAAAGGTTTTAACATACAAAAGGATTAAGTGTGTATACTTAATTACTTTATTCTTTTGTATTAGTTAATCAGGTAACGTTATTGTTAAATGGTCAAAATTTATGACTCACAATATTTCGAAAAATTTATAATAAGTTAAAAATAAAATAACACATGTTTGGTTCACATTATATTTAATTGTTTTATTTTGTCGCCTGTTAGATGTTGAATGTTTATTTTTAGTACCACGTGCGTAGGTCTATAATTGAATATTTAGATTTTGTAGAATGTCTTTAATTTACATGGGACTTGTAACAGTTGATATACGCAGGGTTGGATTGATTAATTAATGAGTAAAGTAGACAAGACAACTGTCGGAGCTAGACCACTAAGAAAACCCTTTTTTTGTCATACTATCTATATATCTCTATACTAACATTAATAAAGAGGTAAAATTTGTAAGTTTGTATGTAGGGGGTAATCTTTGGAACCGCTGGTCGGATTGCCAAAATTCTTTCACTGATAGATAGCGGTGTAGGCTCTGCTCGCCCCTTGGATCTCGCCCCTGATTGCCTAAGTGCATCAACTCGCCCCTTAAATTATTAGATACTCCAACTCGCCCCCGATTGTTGGTTAGTTAAAAGTACTGTCAGCACTCTTAAGTTTATAAAATATTTAAATGAATATTTTTTCTTAAAACTTCAATAATAAGCATTATATATACGACTCTCTCTAGGGGTAACATATTTTAACAAATCTTTTGTTTATAGGCCCCATAAAAGGTCCCTTTTGTTATAGTAGGTAAGCCAGGTAATAAAACTATCACAAGTGGTTAAATTACTTACCAGTTTTGTTTACTGTACATTTTTCTGAATATACCTTTTTTAGTTAAATTTCAAAGGGAATTCCGCAAGGGGCGAGTCGATGCATCAAAATAATTATTTAATTGTTAAAATTTTCACTCGCCCCGTAAGGTTTTTCGTAAGGGGTGAACCACAACTCCAAATTAATAAAAACGAGGCGAGTGGAACATATTAATCGGAAGGGGCAAGATCCAGGGGGCGAGCTGATACTACACCTAGATAGCTACAATGTTCCTGAGTGCTATAGGCAATAAATAAATAATAAAATAATATAAAACATAACGCTACCATCAAATTGAGCTAAGCAGCGGATGAAACCGCGTGAGAGTAGCTAGTGATAAATATTTTTATAGGTAACGCGACAAAATAATGAAAGCAAAATTATACGCAAAGGAAAATATCCCGCGTGTTGTATTGCCCACATTCTTATGACTGGGTTAATTTGGCCCTAGTTACATGTTGTTTTGTATATATGTCTTTATGGTGTAAAAAACATTATATTATGTTTGTTATTGAAGAATGATTAACAAATAATTGATGTTTTCGTTTTCAGCTTATGTTTCGAACATGCCCGCGCGGCGCTGTACGCCCGGCAGCGCAGCGCAGCCGCCCCACCCCCAGTCGTCACCACGGAGACTCTTCTAAACCAACTACAGCATTATGTTAAGTAAGTATTAACTTTAAGAATACTCTAGCTGGAGTTCTGGGTGCTAACACAATAATGTGCCGCTGCCTCGGCCTGGAGCATAAGAAGGATCGGGATGGTTTTTAGTCAGTAAATGTTTGACACTTTCCCTGACCTCGCGAGAGAAGACATTTGATGACGTCACCAATCCAAAACAAAATCGAAAAAAAAGAAACTAATGATATTAAGAGTTTGATATACCTTCACAGAGAATTTTTTTTTTGGACCAGTCCATTGCAGCTTCTCAAAATCGGTGCAGTTTTTGTTTGCGGGATACGGAACATATATTTTTATTAAGTCAGTTTCGATTTCCGCTAAAATATCGCGTGGTTTCACCAGGGATAGTATAGCTTCCAACCGGTGAATTTAGGTTTGGAATATATTCCATCCAAAATCCAAACAATGATTTATTGGAAATAATAACGTCTTACTCTCGTGAATTAACTGAAAGAACAGAAAAACTCTACTAGTTTCATGTCTCAACGAGAATCTTATTCATGACTTGCGTGATCGACGTCACACGTCAACTAACCTCAGTTAATTCACGTGAGAAAGTCGTTATTTCAATAAATTTAGTATGTCTCACGATAGTTGCTATTCAAAAACAAACATTTAATCAAATCGTTCCTTTTAAAACTATAATGCTATAAATCTCTTTTAGGCCGGAACGTCCTCGCACAACGTCCTGTGCATCATCAGTGTCGGTCGTCAGCGATCCTGCTGAACAGGAACAGGCTGAACCACAGGTCGTTGATCCCTTCAGTGAGTATCTTTATACTTGCCTTTCTACATCTTCATTTTATATTAGTACATATAAAATGAAGACGTTATTGTTATCCATCTGATTGTAGCGTGATTTTTTATAACCACTCAGGAACATTGTAGCTATCAATTAGTGAAAGAAATTTGGAAATTCGACCAGAGGTTCCAGAGATTACCTCCTACACACAGTTTTTACGGCTTTATAATATTAGTATAGAAGTATGAACTAGCTTCAATTATTAGCCTGTGTTAATCCAGGATGTCACCTATGTACATACCAAATTTCATCCAAATCGGTCTAGCCGTTTTCGCGTTAAAGAATAACAAACAGTCATCTATACATTTTCACAAAATTTCACATTAATATTACTAGTAAGACTGGTAGGATATTAGTAAGATCTTTGATGCATGAGTAAACGTAACAACAGATGGTAAGTAAATCGGCGCCGCTCATTGACTCTCCTAGAAGACCAGATGAGTTCAAACTAGAGCCATGCTTCGGCACGAGTGGGTCGGCTCGACCGGAGTGATACCACGGCCTCACAGAAAACCGGCGTGAAACAACCACACCGTTGTGTTTTGTATTTCTCCGTGTGAGTTAGGTTACCGGAAGCCCAATCCTTCTCCTCCCCCAATCCCTCCTAAATCCCTAAATCTCCAAATCTCTAATCCCTAAAAGGTCGGTAACGCACTCGTAACTCCTCCGTTGCGGGTGTTCATATCCTATCTCATAAAAATATTAAACCTGCTTACGACAGAGGTCATTAAACAGTGCCAGTAAACAGCCATAAGTAGTTGATGAGGAATTTCATTGAGAATAACCATTTATTTATTTAAAATTTTCAGAACAACTAGACGCGACATCAATAAACAATGCGTACGCTACGTCAATGATGGAATGCGCCAGTTGTAGCGATAGTGATGGGGAGAGCGTGACCTTGGGCCCCGGCGGGGATTGTCGCGCGGGGGACCACGAGGACCTCTCCGATACTGAGGACGCGCCGTGCGAGGAGTTGCCACTATGGTAAGCAAGACTAGACGTGTAATCCATCTCTCTGGATCTAAATCCATCTTTCCATTTCTTAGGAATCTTCTTAACACGCTTTGATTATTCCCCGGAGCTGATCTAGAGGGCCTGGTGTCCCTTTCAGGTGTTTACCGCCTGCCTCGGCCTGTAGCAGGAGAAAGACGGGTGGTTTTAAGCCAGTAAAAGTCTGACAGTCTCTTTCTCGCCTTACCATGATGAGATCGTTAGATCATTTTCCCTATCACAATAAAAGTGGTGATTGCTCCCCTCACATTCTAGTCTTTCTTTTTACAAACTACATTCCCAACCGGTAAAAAAAGTTGTGATTCTATTTCAACAATATATAAACTTTTGTTGAATAATCTAATATGAAAGTTTGGTTTCCGAGGTTGCATTCAGAATTATATTTTTTTCGTAACAAAATTTGACTGTCACTATTCACCGGTTTTAACAAAAAACCAACGTCTTACATCCTAATCATTCACTAGCCACGGAAAATTGAGAAATCGCCCTTCTAATGCATGGAACCAAACATTGCCAAAATAAAAGAATAGAAACTGTATTCAGCCCCTTTGATGAAAAATAAGTTTGATTACATTATCATTATCTAGGAATAAACTAAATGAAATACAGGCACGTACGATGACATGGACTTTTTACAAAAAAATTGACGGAAACAAGTGGCGACATCTATAATATTTCGGATGCGTTCGTGTTACATAAATTATTACTCGACGAATCGGTCGCGTTCATATTTTTTACAGGGCTTTACTCAAAAATAATTATAATAATATTCTATATTTTACAGGAAAGCCGGAGTCTACACAGCTGAAGAAGCAGTATCTGTAGCCAAAACGTGCCTGAAATTGTTACAATCTGCGTATATAAAGCAAATGTCAAGACTCAGAGTCTTGCTACAAACAGCTAGACTGAATTACCTTAGAGATATGAAAGCGGAGAAGGAACAGTATTGTGAGTATAGGTTTTATTTTATTTTAATAGGAGTTTGAGTGCAGATTTGACTAAAGGTCACATGGGATACGAAGTTCTTTCAATCTATACTAATATTATAAAGAGGTCTTGTTTGCCTCCCATTCCATAAAAATAATGGTTTTCTTTTAATTACTTTGCATACCAAATAATTTGGCTGACTATCAATAGAATTATACTTAAATATTTACAGGTAGCATAAACGCACAATCCCGAAGCGGTCCACTAACGGTACGTGAGCGGAGACAGCTGCGCAAGTTAAAGGCGTTCGCCAGCTACCACAGGAAGCATGGACAGGACGCCGTGCTAGCTAGGAAATTGCATCGGAAGCGGGATAAGGTATGTACAGATAGATAGCTTTATTATATTGATGCTATAATCTCATTGGATGTTTTTATTGAAGGAATTGTGTGACCAAAAATTTGCAAGATTAACACCCGGTTTCCGAAAGGCCGATCAATGTTAAAATCAATTTAATCTCTTGTCAAGTCACCTGATTGGTTGACTGAAATATCAACAACCAATCAGATAACTTGACAATCATCTGATTGGTTATAAAAAGATTTTAACATTGTTAGGGCTTTCGGAAACCGGGCATACCTGATGTAAGTATTGGCACAGTCCAAAAATAAACAACACATAAGGAACTCCTTATTAATTATTTTTATGTGTTGGACACCCGCTACAACGGAGCAGTTACGAGTGCGTTGCCGTCCTTTTGGGGATTTAGGGATTGGGGGAGGGGAAGGATTGGGCCTCCGGTAACCCTCATTCACTCGGCGTAACACAACGGTGTGGTAGTTTCACGTCGGTTTTCTGTGAGGCTATCATTCCGATCGAGTTTTTAGCACATTGTGCTAAAGCATGGTTCATGGTCATTATAAATCTAAAACAAATGTTCTCTCCCTAGTTCCAATTTGGCGTAAAATTTTACATAATCTTTAAATTTATTCTCACACCTTAGTAAATTAACAATTAATATGTATAATTTCCAGCTAAGCAGTGCATCATCAGGCACGCGTCCGCTCCCCTCGCAGGCTCGCTGCACGTTCGCCGAGGGCGGCGTGCGATGTCCCGCGCCCGTGTTACCGGCCGCACGCCACTGTCTCAAGCATATATTGCATGATACAAACCAGGTATTATATTCTTTCTATATCGACCTATTAGTTACAACTTGCAAAATCATATTAACATATTAGGTAGGTACATAGTGGAACAAAATTTCTAATAACTAGCTGCCCAGGCGAACGTCGTAAGTATTTCAACCTTTGAAACCTTTAGTGGGCTAATAAAAATGTTGAAAAACCAGAATGACCCAAATTGAATTGACTAATGAACACCAATTCATTATTATTTATTGAAGATAACTACTTAATTCAGAGAACTCGTTTCATATTACAACGTGACTTTATTTGTGAGAATATTGCGCGTCGCAGCTGTACGTCGCGCTGCCCTAATTTTCTGTTTTCAATAAATTTTGTGTATCTAATTACTACACGCGGCAAAACACAAGGTAGTGCTTGTATCACGCCGGTTTTCGGTGACGCCCAATTATCACTCCGATCGAGTTATTTCTTCACCAAAGTTATCAAAATATCTTATTTTCTAATTATTTTAATTTCAGGTGTTATTTGCGCCATGCGGCGATACCCGCGGCGTAGCGTCGTGTCGGGAACCGGTCGCTAAGCTCCCTCTACCGTCGACAGCGTGTCGCTACCATACCGACCCGCCTGTCTATACTGTGTTCAATTTAAAGGTATGTTTATTATATTATATTCAAGAAGGTATATGAAAGCCATGCCTCATCATGAATGGTCTGGCACGACTGAAGTTATAAAACCTATATCAAGGCCTGACAAAACACTTGCGTGATAAAAGACTTGCCTTGTTCAATGATCTTTGGTCTAATCCTCATTTTAGCTCATAAAACGCCAGCACTTGTAAACGCTTTGGTGTTGCGTGTGCCCTTACTCGATCACTGATGGCTCACCATCAGGTGATCAGTCTGCTCTTTTGAAGACCTATCCTTAAAAAAGCCTTCCTTAGTTGGTAGTTACCACAATATAGTATGGTCGCTGGTTTATAAAAGATTTTTCCACAAACAACATGTAATAGAAAAATAAATTTTATTTTACATACCATGTCTTAGAATATGGAGACGATATAGTAAATAACAGCCGGGGTTGCGGGCAAGCGCAATAAGTTACCGCGGCCTCGGTCTGGAGCAAGAGGAGGAGGGACGCGGGTGGGTTTTAGTCAGGAAGAGTCAGACACTCCCTCTTGCCTTACCCTGGGGGAGTGAAGTCATGTGATGATTTCCTCTTAAAAAAGAAATTAACAAAGTTTATAATCTCATTATCATTTGATTCCACAGAAAGACGGATCGGACACAGAATCTGAACCACAATCATCATCAGACGAATCTCACGTCGACGAGGCAGACGCGTCAACGGACGACCGCGTCGCTATCCAAGAGTTGGAAGAGGTCGAAATGACTTCTTTCATACCCCAGGAACTGACGGACGAATGACGAATAGCCGAACTGGTTTACCAAATGTATGAGGACTTTGGACAGTGAAAGACAGTGAAAAAGTGATTAAAAGTATTCCTATTATGTGGTACTCATAACAGTGAAAAGCGAATGTTACCTTTATGGGTAAAAACGTGTGTTGTGTTTGTGTTTTCGCGGATAATAGTGTTACAAAAGTGCTATGGAGGATGCCTTTCCAAAGAATTTTATAAAAGAGTGATTTCCAAAGTTGTAATAGTCGGATTATTGGAAAAAAGGTATAGAAATAAGTTTTCTTCTTAATAACAGTTATGTGTAAGTAGTTAGTACAAGAAACGTTTTGAAAAAAGTTACGAAACCTCCGTTTCTAATATGGCTGAAGTGAGTAGACATTTGTATAATATGTATATGATTAATCTTTTCTGTCAAGAGGAACCTTTGAATCGCCACGGTTGGCTATCGACAAACAAATTGTACTAAATTATAATGCTTGGCTTGTCAACTATTCTAGATAATTGGCCTATTTTGCTAGACAATAATGGTGGTTGATATGTTTATCATTGTAATTTGATTATACTTTGAGTGACTTGTCCAAAATTATAACACTAAGGAGGCCTTTCTCATATAATATTATATGGATCAAATTATGTAGAACAGAAAGAAAAGTTAATGAATGAAATATAGATTGTCTTGTTTAAGTAGATTTCTTAATAAAAATCAAAGATTTGCTTGTTGAAATTCCCATACATTTTATAAAAGATGGGCTGAGGTACGCTAACAGCCGTACTCAAGCATAACACTCAACACTCAACATGTAAAAGTAATGATATGTGGGAGCCGGGGCGTGAAACAACTACAGCATTGTGTTTCGGTGTCCATGGGCGGTGCTAATTACTTGCTATCAAGTATCTATCGGTATGCTCGTTTGCTGTCCGATTACATAAAAAAAACTAATGGCATCGCGAGTAATTTCGCAGTGTTATATAAGAAACCTGTGATTAATTTTGACATTAAAAGTGAAATGGCACTTTATACTTTTAATTGACGATTTGTAATGATGAAAATTACTAATGAATTAACTCTCGAATAATGTAAAATAACAGATTCAGTAAAGTCCTAAGGATGATGACAGAAAATGAAAAATCTAATTACTTACATTAATCTAAAAAAACCCCGGGCATTAAAAATTAATCATACAATGGCCACAATTATGGCACCATCTTTCTTCATGGTAAACAACAAAATATTGATTCCTTAACCCTTTACATCATGGTAATATGAGACACAATAGTAAGACGATGGGTGCTCGAAGGCCGGCTTTCGTTTGGAGTTTGATGAATTAAGTAGATTAAAGGTAACAAATAGTCTAGAAAAAAGCACTATCACACGTCAAAATTGTATAAAAAAAACTAGATGAAGCCCACATTTCCTATCTGACTTGAGAAGAAATGTCGAAATAGACTCAGAGGTTAGTCTCTTAAAATCCAGACAATGTAAAAAATAAAAAATATATGCCTGAGAACCATGCATGTAGCATTTATAATATTAGTTGGATTATTTACCCACCCACCGCATGTATCAATGTAATTTGTAAAAATATAAGTCGCATGATATTTGTAAGACAAATTGTTGAAAAAAAAATTAACTAAAAATCGCGGGTTTCTCATGTGTATATATTGAGAAAAGCTCTACTAGTTTCGAACCACAGAGGGGTTCTTCCTCATGAGCAGCGTGCGCGGACGCGGCGACGTCGCGCGGCCTACTGAGCCTGTCTCAATATTTATACACGTGAGTAACCAGCGAGTTTTAGTATTTTTAGTTAATTTAGTATGTCTCACTATAGTTATTATAATAAAAATATTGTTGAAATCTTTAACTCGCATGAGATATTGTAAATTAAGTGTGATTTACGGGTTGTTCTCGTATCTGTTTGGCGCGACCCCTGATTATGAGCCCCTGTAATGGCTTGAAACTAATCGAGTTAGCTCGTCAAACGTATACGAGTAAGCCAAAGAACAATAATGCTTGAAAATGGGTGATAAAACAATTCATAAAGTGAGAATTTAAAGGGTACGAGTAAATATAAGAAGTTTAGAATAAATTGCTTTTAAAATGTTAAAACTAGAGAAATCTGTAATTTTGACTATAATATGCATTGTTATAATTCTCATATCATTTAATTGTCAGTTGTAAGATACTTATTTAATTAAAAATGATGTGAAAGTGTTCGAGAAGTAGGTATGGACTTATAACATGTTTTTTTTTATTAATGTTGCTAAGCACATTTTGAGCGCAAATTGAAAAGAACGTTTTTAAGTACATAATTCTTGGTATTATTTCAAGATTTATCGAATATTTCAATGTCTACGAGGCATGTTTTCAGATGAACTTTCAAGCAAAAATTGTTTATATATGAAGGTTATAATTACGAACATGTTCCAAAAATTGATTATGTTTGCATGGGATCATAAAATAGCACTTTAGACGGATTTTTCGAAAATGTTTGTAATGCTATATGCTATATCTATACCTATATCAATCCAATCGCCAACCCTCATTGAGCAAGCGTGGTGATCAATGCTCTAACCTTCTCCGTAAGTATAAGCTGATGATGATGATCTATACCTACTGTTCATTTAAAAAATGGGTGAGAAAATTACAGTAATCGTAACCTACTGGTACTCAACACTTTCTAATTAAGAATCTGTTATTCCTTATGAATCCACTATTCCAAATCCCAGGGATATTATTATGAGATTGTAAACTGTATGCCTGAATCAATGTAAATTCTTAATTATAATAATTTTGTTACTTCACTTGCCACGAATGTATAAAAAATATTCCTATGTTGCTTGTCTAGTCTAGTCTACATGTAAACAAAATAATGTGAAGATCTGATTGTTTTAAAAAGATACCAAATAAAAACATTCCCTGAATTTGTTTTGGCTGTTTTTTTGTTCAATCCTTCGGTACTTATTTTTTTCGGTTTTTTTTACTGAGTTGCGCTTATGAGGTAGTTGATCATCACCAATAACTGCCCATGGGAGTCCAGTAGAGGAAATAATGTATCCTCAGGCCCCAATCGCCACTGTAGGAGACACTCAGGTCGTCGAGGATCGCGTGACCATCTCCAGCCAAAAGCGGATCTTTAGACGAAGCCTGAAGATCAACATAGCGAATAGCGGTCCGGGCGGTATGGCTCAAAGAGCCAACAGACCACAGATAGGGCCCAATAAGGCTCATGTTTAGTGGCGTTTTAATTATATGCCACTGCCTCGTACTGGAGCAGGAGAAGGAACGGAGTGGTTTTTAGTCACTGATGCTCCCTCTCGCCTTACCTTGGGCGAGAGAGAAGTCATTTGATGATTTTCCCCTCGCAAAAACAAACAGTGGACTCTATCCTCCGTGCGTCGAGGCTCGCGTGACGATCTCCACCGAAAGCCGTCTGCACGGCGACCAAGGGTACCTTCACGACCCCTGATCAGAATGTAGCGAATAGCGTTCCGCGCGCACCTCAAGTGACAACAGACCACCACACCACAGATAGGGCCAGACATGGCTGATGTTCAACTGGGGTTGCGGGTCAAGCACAGTAATGTTTTTGACGGCACAGTTTTGGCGATGGCTTGGCAATCGGCTGCCGTGCAACGTGTCGCGGGTTCAACAAAACGGAATAAATATATGTGATTCATCAATTGTTGTTCTAGGTCTGGGAGTGGTGTGTATGTAAATTGTATTTTAGAGGTATGAGGAAACAGGGTGGAAAGTCCGTCATCCTTCATTGAAAAGGGAGGATCCTCCGACCAGGCGAGGTGTTCGTGGGTGGTGGGCTACTGCCGGGATACTGTCGGGATTTTTGTATCAGTGCTAATTGTGTTGTACCTAAACTCTTATAGCGCGATGTAGAAACTTGTACGTGATTGGTGCTGTTGTCTATTTTGTGCGATAGATGTCGCTACAGTATGTTTGTAAACGCACCCACAGGAAATGAAAAGAAATCTTCCGTCCAACACCATCTCGCCTCGACGAGACGGACGAGAAAAGAAAATAGGAGCGGCCTATTTCTGAATAAGAGGGTTAGGTTAACATTCCAGAGGTCTCAGTACCTATGAAGATCAGGTTTTTTTTTAGAGAGCGCTGCTGCCCCGTCTTTGTAAAATGTACTTAGTGGTAAGTGTATGGGTGGTCATAAAATATAATATATTAAACCCACCCAGTAGTTACCACACGAGCAAGGGAATCTAATAAAAAATTATAGGTATGTATGGTAAGTGATCAGCCCTGCCTGTGGACACCCGCAGCACCAGAGAAGTTGGTATCTACTGGACTTCCCCCGCTCAAAGATGAGCACTAGTAGAGTATTCTATGTGCGGCCGAACTTGCGCCATATAATGTAGCAGGCGATTTCCCGGACTTAAATACTGTCTCGATCTATTGAGCACACCTAGCTTCTTCAAGGCTAATGTAGCCTAAGGTACCCTCTAGATGACCGCGAAACTGGACTTCCCTCGATATGTTGACACAAAGCACCCCAATAATACCGGCCGAGGCTGTAAGGGGGTGCTCTGAAACTGAGGAGATACGACCAATGGCAGTTTTTTAGCAATTGCTTGTTCTTCTCCATCGGAATCAATCCTTTGATTGATTAGAAAACAAATTAAGGGCTGAATTCGGGAATCGAACCCGGGTCGCTTGCTCGGCTGTAGTAGGTACATGCAAATACTCGAGTGGCGAGTAAGTTGCTTTTCCCAAGGTTTGGCAGAGAACAATAGGTTTAAGTGTGGGAGTGGCTCTCCCACACTTAAACCTATTGTCGCGTTGTGTGAGCTTCAGCACGAACTGCGTCACAGAAAACCGGCATGAAACAACCACAGCGTTGTGTTTCGACGTATGAGTGAGGTTACCGGAGGTCCAATCCCTAATCCCCAAAAAGTGCAACGCACTCGTAACTCCTCTGTTGTTGCGGGTGTCCATGGGCGGCGCTGATTGCTTACCATCACCTATCATAAGAGGTAACTTCAACACTTACAAGGGAAAATAAAACGCCAGACTACACATGTAAAAAATAAACTGTATTCAACAGAAGATCAGCGAATATTAAAATGATAATTAATTGACAAATCAACAACTTTTTTATATTAAAAAATAATAATTAACATTGTACAAGAATTTCCATGGAATGTTCTAGAGTCCTTAAATATATAAAAATGGATTTCAAACATAAATATTTATTTATAACGCTTTTACATTCCTTTGAATCTATGTGGGGTGTTTGCCATTTATACAGTAGGAATTTGCATGGCAAAATGTACCAACGATTTATAAAAGGTAGGTAATATAATGTATGGATGATATTATAGGTAAAAAGGTGTAGATAGGTTACAAGCGCTCAGCAAGTGATACATTACAATGTGGCTAACTAGCCACACTTTATTCATATTTGTCTCTTTTTCACTCGCGATTATTGAATCATGCCATCTCACTTTAACATGTATCCTACCTACGCCTAATTCTTGGGTGCATTAGTGTGCTGTTTTTGAAAATTTTGTTTATGTAACTAATCTTCACCATTTTACTTATAACGTCATTGAATGGACCACTTACATAATTGCTTGCTTTTAAATTGAAATAAACAACCTATTTTGACTCCTAAAACCTTAGCAACCACACCAAGATAAGGCATGTGAAAATTGCAAGAAGAAAATTTGTTATTAAAAATATTATTTGCTTTCAAAATCATCCGTTTACTTAAAGAATGGAAGTCAAAATAGGTCCCCACATAGATCCGTGTCAAACTTTACATACAAAATGTTGCAATATTAAAATCCCTACTTTTTCTGCTTGCAACCCACAGCTTTTAAAATCCTTTGAGCATTTCCATTTTGGCATTATTAATAAATATTTCGTCTGCTAAAATATGGTCATTATAAACCTCTTTTAGGCCATTAGTAAAAAAATAGACAGAAATACTTATCATGACACTTTTTTGTGTTTGTGCGAAACTCTAGGGTTGCCAGCTGACAATATTAGATGTTACCAACACTAATACAACAGGAATAATAAATAAAAAAAGGATTTAATCTTAAATATTTTTTAATCAGTCGTCAAGTGTTGTGTTTGGAAAATTACGTATTTATCTATAATATAAAAATGAATCGCGAAATGTGTTGGTAAGCGCATAACTCAATAACGACTAGACCAATTTTGCTGATTCTTTTTTGGTTATGTTCTTTATTTTTATGTGCAGGTTCTTACGAAAGAAAACTTTAGAAAAGTAAAGGGGAATATCGGGAATTAACAATCATTTCGGTGCTGTGGCCGTTTACTAAAAAACAAATGACTGACGGGGTAATCGAATACCTACCCGTGCGAAGCAGGGGTCGTCCGCTAGTTTATTATAAATTCATTTTTTCGCTAAATTTTTTTGTCATTTAGGTATCTACTGATAAAACATGAGGATATTACAGCTAAGTATTAACGATTATTTTACGATGAATATGTATTAAAATACAAATTCTATAAAATTCGGGATTACTACTGATAATATTATATTAATTATAATTCAATATGTTGTATCGTATTTATTAAAAATTGGTATATTACATTTATTACTTCTAACACCAATTCGGTTAGTACGTAGCATGCATTAGAACAAACAAAAAAAATGAAACGCACAGCAGAAGAAAGAAGAAACATAAAATATAAAAGAAAGTCTTTTTAAAACAAAACAACGTTAAATCCCCGAAATGAGTAGATGAAAAAGAAAACACTTTTTACCTGCTATCACATAATTCCGTGACAGTCTTCGAGACTCCACGGTAAGATTAAAGTAAAAAAAAATTCATATTACTAGGTCCGTATCAGGAACCCAAGATCAAGAATAAGACTACCAAAGTATTTTATACCCACAAAAATAAATTAATTCAGAGATCTACATAATTTTCCTAAACACAACGCTTAGATAGCCTCACTCCGTGTAGATTGTGTCGAAATCACTTCTTTTTCTTCATTTGTTTCGCTTTTTTCTTCTCTTCTCGCTTCTTCTCCTTCTCCTTTATAGATTTGTATAGCTTATAGCCGAAGAATACTGGAAATTAGAAAAAAATGTGGTTAATATTTGCTATATGATAAAATAAATAGTAAACAAATAAGGTTATCATTTTGCAAAAGATCTCATATGATGCGATTTCCCGTTCGACAGCACCAGCGTGTCGTCAGCGTAACAAACAATGGTCACCCAATCGTACCCGATGTTCCACAGGAGCGGCCCCAAGACTGATCCTTGTGGAACACCGCGCGACGTCTCTCTCTCCAGTTCCACAGATTGAAAAAAGGCTTAACAATAGATTTCAGATTGGCCAGATTGGAAGCGACCTTGATCCGACGGCACCTTACATTAGGTGTCCAGGTCCAATATAATGGGCACTTCAACATTTTTCTCAACTAATGGAGTGTGTTTATTTTAAATAATACCTTATCAATTTTATCAAGAACTTAAGTTTCTCTTTGTAAACATTAAACTACTCATTATAATTAATAGTAAGGCTATTTTGAAGTAAAGTCATAGAGTTCTACTATAAATGCAATGTTTTTGATTAATAAAAAATGCAAACAAAACGATACATTCATTTTGGGATCTACAATTTCAATGATTGACGAAGAAGGAAGGACAAACTTGTAACAACATTTTATTCAATTATCCTACAAATTTTATAAACGCGAAACATTATATGTAGATGATGAATGTGTTTCACATAAATAATTGACGTAATTAGTAAACCCCCGATAAAAATCTAATATTCCTTTAAAAAGTAATAATTAAAAGAAAACGTGGCGTTGGGGGACCGATCCATACATTTTATTATCAACTACATATTTCTATTTAGTCGGGGGGGTCTAATTCTTTTTTTATTTTATACTTTTTATATCATTTCCTCTCGATTAAGTCATCAACATTCCCTTCAGTGCGCATTCATTTGAGACCACACTTTTTGAGACACGAGTATATTTGCAGACCTTCGGTTACCCTTCCCCACTTACCCCCCCCATAACTTCTAAACGGCTCAACCGATTTTCGTCAAACATGTCTAAGAACAGTCACACGTAAGTCACCTTTAATACAAAAAAAAAACTAAATTAAAATCGCTTCACCCGTTCAGGCTCCAGGATGCCACAGACAGACAGACAGACACGTCAAACTTTAAAAATTGGTTAAAAATAATGAACGGATCTGAATGAAATGTGGGTAAGCAATAGATTAGAATCTAGATTTCTCTGCGATAAGGAGGATGTTGTTTTTCGTAGTGGCTCGGAGGTTAAGGAGGTTGTACACCTATAGGAAAGTAGGCACCACTGAGATACGGTAAAGGAAAACATCGTGAGGAAACCTGGACTTATACTTTCTAATTACAAGTTGGAAATCGCCTACTGCATCGCCTTAAAGATTAATGGTCTAATCTTCTCAGTGTGAGAAGAAGCCTTTGCTCAGCCGTAGGCATTTATATGGGCTGATGATGATGATGATAAAGCAGGACGAAGCTGAAGTAGTTGATAGGTAATATTTGACTGTACACGAGAAGATAATGCCTCAGGCCGACTATAAACGATTTTGGGCATGAAGTATGAATGATTTATAAAAAAAAATAGGAAACAATACACTTAGAAATTTGATTTAAAAGAAGAGTAAAATTACAATCGCATTAGCAACATTAATGGAACCGAACAAAACATCAACAATTGTACTTGGGCTTTAAAAAAAACTTATGAAAACTGCAAAAACAAACCAAAAGAGTAACAAATCCTTTCCTTCAGTTATGTATGTTATGGGTTTTATATGACAGGGGGTAAGCCTACTGCCGGGGCTACAGGTCTAGCGTAATAATAAGGTACCTCAGAATAGAGAAGTAGAAGGAACGGGGGGTTTTTAGTCAGTAAGAGTCTGACACTCCCTCTTGCCATATCCTGGGCGAGGTAAGTCATTTGATGACATTCCGTCTTCCAAAAAAGGGGTGACTCTAGCGCCATATTTCGGAAAAGCCGAAAAAAATATTGGTTTTTTTAGAAAAAAAAATACCTCGTTCGGCATTTGGTAGCTAGAAAAACAACGTTTAAAATAATATTTAAAAACAATTTAGATGTAATCTAAAGATTAGAAAAACCTATTGAAATGTTACCTAATTAGTACGGGAATCTATGTAAAAATACGATAAGTTTAGTAATTAAGATATTATCTTTTGTATTATAAAAATGATAATATGGCGTCTCCATGGAGGTAAACATTGAAAATATTTCTTAAAAAATCGTTTGTGTTATTTACAAAAGTTTATATATAAAAGTAGCTACTCCCGCGCGGTTAGACTCGCTGCTCGGCTCCATTTGATTGTAGCGTGATGTTTTATAGCCTATAGCACTCGGCAACATTGTACCTAGCTATCAATAAGTGAAACAATTTTGGCGATCCGACCAGTGGTTCCAAAGATTACCCCCTACATACAAACTTACAAATGTTACCACTTTATAATATTAGTATAGAAGTATAGATATAGGTGATCAACAGCTTCATAACTAACCTGTATAGGTGATAACAAAAATATAAGTAGGCTTTCACTATTCTCAATCTTCAAACAATCTTTTAAATCATCACAACTTCACCGTCCAGGCCTCGTAAATATTTTCTATATTCAAGACTTACTTTGGACAAGACTATCAACCGAGAATCCCTTAACTTGATTCCATTGAGTTTAAATAGCATAACAAACAAAAACACCGGTTTATCACTATCAAAACATTGCCATTTTTACCCAAATTCTCGCAATAACTTCAAAACGACCTAGAATAAACATACCTAGCACTAGAATGAAGACTAGGACAGCTGCAGCAACCATGTAGAGTTTCGTCACCACTGCACTTCTGATAGCATCTTCAACGCCAGCCAACATGGCATTATCCTTCAATCTCATACTCAATTTGCTCGCAAGACCCTCTTTAATCTGCGCAGCAAACTTCTTCTTCTCCTCAGGACTCATATCTCTAAACTTCTCCAAAACACCTTTTAATTTGTTCTGTATTCCTTCCGATTCTTCATCACCAGGCTCCATTGAAACCATCTTTTGAAGTGTGCTAAATACATCCATGTTTTGAATTGACTCTGTCAGTTTCTCACCAATCATTTTGCTGATGGACATTCCTGGGTCCTGTGTCTGTTCTAAATCTTCTTGATCCGCCATTTTAGTTTTCCTAGCGTGAGTTTTAGGATATTTTAAAATATTTATAGCGAGTGCATCTTAGATAATAGAAATGCATTAAGAGCGACGCTGCGCTCTCATATTGACGGCCAAAAATACTATGTCGAATTTATTTTGAGAATTCTGGCGCATCGGTCGGGCGATCAAGCGCTGGTTTGGGGTCATATGAGCGCTCTTTTTGAGAAGAAAAGAAGTTCTTCGGAGAATTTAGTTCAAAGTGAAAATGAACTTGAAAAGTTAATAAAAAATTGGTAAAAAAGGTAAAAGTTCCAGTTCCATTTGATTTTATTGGGGTCTTGGTTACCGTAAGTCTGAGTTATGCTCTTCCAGAATAGCAGAATCAAAAGTTTTGCTTACCAAATGGAATTATCAACCTACTTTCTAATAACAGGGCAACTTTATTAAAAGGCAAAAACATGGCAAAATTGAAAACATTGCAAGAGCATGCAACGGCTAGACCGAAAGGTCAAAATTCTCAAAAATTGGACTCAAAGCCGTATTTATTTAGAGTTTAAAATGAAGACAGTAGACACTCACCGTTTGGTCTGGCTTCTAAAGATAAACTGTATCAAAGCAACAAGATTTATCATTACGTACGTGTACAAATATAATTGGAAAATTATTTATCTTTTTGTTATGTGATAATGGTATCACAAATTTCGAAACTCGAAGCTAAATCGGCATGCGCCTTACCTACAGCCGTGTCTTGCCACTGAGCTAGATTAAGCGAAAAAATTTTGAATTTTTAAGGCATTTTCTTAAAAACCGATGAGTCGATTGTGATGAAATTTCGTATGGGGATAGCTTGAAGACTGAGGATAGATTTTTATAAGCCTTTAATTTTCTTTACACCAATTTTAAGAAGCGAGTTAAAATATGTACGTAGGGATGTAGGGGCAGAGAAAGCGACTTTTTAATACTATGTAGTCATGTAATTTCATAAAGTGTTATTACATACATTATCTTTGTTTATATTATGTATATAATAATATATAATATAGTATATAAGTATTAAGATTGCTAGGAGAGGTGACCTACATGTTAAAATGTAGGTAGGCATACAATGTTGTTATTAATCTCTTTATATTTTTAATGTGATATGACCGCAAACGAACAGACGGATTACCTGATGGTAAGCAATTTGCGCCGCATTTCGGCACCAACATTTCTAGTTGAGTAACTAGTACGTTGCCAGCCTTTTTGGGGTTGGAGGCGGAGAAAGTGGATTGTTCCTCCGGTAACCTTACTGACACGGCGAAACACAACGCTGAGGTTGTTTCACGCCGGTTTTCTGTGAGGCCGTGGTATCATTGCGGCCGATCCGACTTATTCGTGCCGAAGCAAGGCTCTTCCACACTTAGACGATTATTCGACTTGTAAGAGCAACTATATTTCATTACATTCTTTAGAATGTTACGAAAGTTAAATGTTTGATTATTAATATAAGCCATAATTTAAGCCAAACATAGCATTTTAATTAAAAGCCATAGATTAAAAATTAATTAGTTCCATTTCAATCGGCTTAAAAATAACTTAATAAAGTGAGTAGATATTAAAAAATGTATGATTATGAGCTAAACGGCCTTGGAATAATAAAAAAGTCTTTATGTACGAATATTATAAAGATAAAGAGAAAAAAATGAATATATATTTGTAAGTACTTAAAAGGCTTAGAAACTACTGGACCCATTAAACAATGAAACAATGAATTTATTTTTGCAAATAGGCCATAAAACGGCACTTTTACCCGTCAATTTATATGTGAAAAACTAGATGAAGCCGGCATTTCCTATCTGACTACTCTGAGAAGAAATGCCGAAACAAACTCAGACGTCAGTCTCTTTTCAAGTCCAGACAATGTAAAAATAACATAATGTGAGAAAAATAAAAATGAAAAATATTTCACTATTGAAGAGCTTACTTCTCTCTACTTTTTATCGATTTTTTTTTTAATAGGAGGCAAACTAGTAGAAATATGACCTGATGGTAAGTGATCGGCGCCGCCCTTGGACACCCGCAGCACCAGAGGAGTCACAGGTGCGTTGCCGGCCTTTAATTTGTACAGTAATTACGCGAAATCTAAATACCTACGACACGAGCGGAGCCATGTGTACACTCTGTTATTTTTTAAAAAAATAATTTTTAGAAAGACATTCCTCCCATACAAAACTCTTTAATCAACGTTACAAATCCCAAATTCAACAATAAATTAGAATGTGGGTGTGGTCTAGAGATAGTACTAGTCTTATCACTGATAACGTTACTAGTTCCTATGGGTTCCAAATCGGTTGAAGTATGATCCAAACTAATATTATAAATGTGAAAGTAACTCTGTCTGTCTGTCTGTCTTTTCTTCACGTCTAAAATACTGAACCTATTTGTGTGACATTTGATTCAGACATAGTTTGGAACTCGAGGAAGGACATAGGATAGTTTTTAAATAAAAAATCTGCAGGTAGTCACTATTCCACGCGTACGCAGACGCGGGAAAAAGCTAGTTCTTAATAAACATTATGTCAACAGCGTCGTGGGTTACATATATTAACTAAACTCTTTTTGATATTTACTAGTTGTAAGTAAATAATGGTACTGTTTGTTGTTAATTTTTAATACAATAAGTAAAATAAAACCTAAACCGTGGCAATTAGAGACACTATAGTAAGACAATAGGTGAGCGAACGCCGGCGTTCGCTTGGAGTTTGTTGAAGTTTGTTGCTGGCATCCGCTACCCAGACTGAACATAGGTGGATGGTAGACAGAGTTGAGCGCGGAAAGTGTGGTTCTAGTCGGGCGACAGGCTACCATCATTGCTCGCTAACCGGAGACCCGCCGTGATAAGAGGTGACATAATTTAATTGATGATATAACTTGTGATAAAAATTGTTATTTCAAGATGAATTAAGGTATTAATAACTGGGGCAATGTAGTACTGGAAAATTATGCTTGGATCTCTTACCCCCATAAGGTCGGGATGTCCATGGGCGGCGTCGATTGCTTACCATCAGACAAACAAAGGAATAAGAGAACTAACCATCACTTTGGAGAATATAAAGGTATAGTCGTTGTGTTTAAAAGTAAATGTTTTCAAAGAACCCAATTTTGAAACATATTCGTTACATCAAAAAGACAAAAATAACTTTTCAATACACATTTCAGACGCGATTATTGTAACACTGAATCAACAACGACCAATAAAAAAATAGCACTGAAATAGTAAACATTACATTTCCAAATCGAATATAATAATTAAATATATATTCATGTATACCTTTTATACGTAAAAACCGCGCACAAACAAACACAATCACGAAACGAAATATAAAAAGAAAAAAAATGGCTTACCTATCAACGCGAAAACTAGTATAATGAAAAAAATAGCCAGCAGAGAGCCCCCAGCATAACCGCCAAAGACCTTCGGGACATCACCAGTCAACATAGCCTTCAAATTTTCCTTCACATCATCAGCTATGTCAACAGTATCCAGCATATCAATAATGGCCTTCCTATTTGGAGCCTTTCCTGGCTCAGTGGTCTGATCAATCAGCTGCTGCAGTTTATCCAAAGAATCTTTATCAATCCCGTCCATTTTGGTCGGTTGGTTTCGTCAAATTAAACACAGAATGATAAGTTGGTAGTATGCTATCTTTGAAACGTGGAATCCACGTTGTAATTGGCGTGTGGGCCGATTTGTAAGATTGCAGCGATAAATGTTCGACACGGTTGCCGATGCGGATTCTTTGGAGATTGAATGGATGCGTTACAGTTATGTTAATTATTTACAAAACGACTTGTATGTATGTATTTATACTTAAATTATAATACTACACATTGTAATATTTTACCAGCATACAATTTAAATGGGATGTAATACAGAATCTTTAAACTGATTGAAAAAATTGAACCATGGAGTTTCTTTCTCGTTCTTCTAGTTTTCAAAGTGCCTTGGTTTAATACGACCAGCTATTTTTGAAAGAAAGAAAGAAATGTTTTTATTGTGCTCATCCGATCTGCTAGTCACCTTGAACAAATGTTGTTATAGTAAAGCTAGCTAAATTTCATTAATAGATCACATGTAACACCAGCGCCATCTGTTACAAAAAAGACGAATCTCCCACCGAAATAAATATCTGGCCTGGCCTGGAGCAAATAAGGAACGGTGTTGAAATTGTGGACGAGCCACGCTTCGGCACGAATGGGCCTGCTCTGCCAGAGAGATATCATGGCCTTAAAACACCACAGCGTTGTGTTTCACCATGCGAGTGAGGTAAGCGGAAGCCCAATCCTTCCTCGACCCCATTTCTACAAAACCCTAATCCCAAAAAGACCGGCAATGCACTCGTAACTCCACTGGTGTTGCTTGTATCCATGGGCTGCGCCGATAACTTACCGTCAATAATAATGTAATAACGGTAATACGTCGGCTCGTTTTCCGACCTATTACATAAAAAAAGATGAGGTTTTTAGACAGTCCAAAACTCCCTCTCGCCCCAGATCGATTAGATGATTATCCCACCTGAAAAAAGCCAACACCCGCCCCGCTACCGCCTATGCCTTGCGTCTGCCTATAATATAATAATACGTACACACAAGTGTTCCTTCATTATCGATTTTATTGACTTGTTCGTCTCGACTCACTGAGAAACGAACCAGTTTACTTATGACTATTTAATTTTCCGGGTTTCTAGAGCATAATAACATTTTATATTTTTGTGTGATAATATCTTCAATATGTTTGATAGACATCTTCAATTTCAAAATTAATAAAAATGGATAGACGTAACGTTTTGTCCGCGCATAGCTCAAGAACGGATACACCAAGTTTGATGAATCCTCTTTTATTGTGTTTGTTGAGGTAGGGAGAATATTGGTTAGTAAGTATTTAAGAAATAATAATTTTTTACTAGATATGTTGGGAAACAAAATCTGTGCACAATCGCAGCAAGGTATTAAGTGAATCGGCTAATAAATTGTGAACTGCTAAACTTTTTGTAAGCGCATTACTCCCGAACGGATACGCCGTATTAGATAGATTCTATTTTATTGTTCTCGTTACTGTTGGGTCCAAATCTGTGGACAAATCTTGACAAATACAGACTTGAGTTGACAAAAGGAATTATTTCTCTATCCCAAGTAGTTGCTGAGATCTCCGTGGCCGCGCAGTCCTTGACGTCAGAATTGCGCGGCCAACTTAAAACGCTTATAACTTCTTTATTTCTGCTTTGACAAATACGGGGTTTGTTTCTTTCGATTTTGACAAATATCGACAAATTTTTGGCTGAAACCATTTTCTGATTTGATAACTTGGCGGAGCAATCCTGACGCACACCAAGGCGGGATCGGGACCAAGTGTGAAAGAAAAAAAAAAGGTGGTCAGAGATTATAACCCCAGTACAGAAGCCATAATGCACTCTAGCTTATAAAATAAAAATAAATGAATGGATAAATATACCATTTTTGTTGCTTCCGACATTGTAGGAACTAATTCTAAGCGAAATAAACACAAGTGACGAATTCGCAAAAAAAAAACAGGTAATAGCAACGGAGCAAAGCCGAGATAGGAAAGTAGTTTTAGTTAGGTACAATTATATAAATGTGTAAGTTTTTAGGATACGTGCACCTAAGTATGTTTTGAATTCTTACAGTATGCAAAAACAACCTTTAATTGAACGAAATTAGAGTTTTTTTTTCTGTTGTTTTTTTGTAAGTATTGCAATATAGTATACTTTTAACACTAATGTTGCGGGCGAAACCGCTAACAGAACCTAGTATATAATAAAAAAATAAAAATGACTTGACGAAATATTTGTAACTCACCTACGCAACAGCACAAAATTAGATCTATAAATTATTATATTTTGTGAGAGAAATATCCACGACTCACTTTAAATCAGAAAATAGCATCAATGGGAAGACAGAATGACAAGAAAGATGAAAAAAAAATCACTTATTGAAAAATTTATTATGTATAACTAAATATAATATGCCCGAGAGACGGAAATGCGAATGGGCGGCTCTCCGTTTTGAGCGTGCCTCAGTGTCGTAAAACAACCACAGAAAGGCCACTAGGACCGAGTTCCCGCCCCGGGTTTGAAGGTCAAGCGCAGTGATAAACCACCATGTTGGAACCAGGTGTTTTTTTTTGGTGGTCAGTAATTTTGACACGACTCCTCACCCAGGGCTAGAAGGATAGCCAATAGACCACCATAGACGGGGTTAAGCGCAATGAGTCACCGCGGCCTCGGCCCAGAGCAGGTGAAAGAACAGGGGAGTTTATAGTCAGTAAATCTAACACTCTTTCTCGCCTTACGCTGGGCGGGAGAAGTCATTAGATGATTTCCATTGACAAAAAAGGGGATAAAAGGGTCATTCTATGATAACAGACCTCTGGCCTACCAGAGGTCCCCATACTAATTGATGTTTTAGTTTATAATACAACATTGAAACAGAATATTTAACTAATCCTTCCCTTATATATGCATCATCATTTTCATCATCAGCCTATAAGGGTTAACTGCTGAGTAAAGGCCACTTCTCAAACAGAGAAGCTTTGAACAGGGTTCACCACACTTGCTCAAGTGATTTCAAACTTATAAAGGTTTTCTCTGAATATTTTGTTTGCCATACATACATAAAAAATAATTACCATTCATCCCACTGACAAATTTCCCTCTTTTCAAGTTGATAAAATATTCCTACCAGGTGAAAGCTTTGATAAATATATTGATTTCATATTATCAGCTTGCTTTTGCATGTTTTATCTTTATGGCGCATTTTGTGGCTCTGAAAAATACTCTATCTATATAAAAATAATAATTTCAACATTTGATAATAAATTTTAAGAGAAAAGATTTGATTGTATTTTTCCATGGTTTGGTTGCTTAATTAAAAAGTATTTTAATGATATGTTACTAAGCCTTTTTTTAAATAAAAACTACTGCATAGTTGATGCATTATTTAAGCAACCAACTACTGTACAATAATATCTGATTCCTATATAGAAAAAGTTTTTGGGTGATCCATGAATTGTTGTTACGGATAATGTGCAGATGAAATTGTATGTTTGTAAAAACACACCCACAATACATGACAAAATCGTAACATGAGGCAGTATAAAAAAATTACTTTTGTTACTGAAAAGTTCCCTTTGTTTCTACATAGTTAGGACTTTTTATATAAAAAAATAAATTACACATGAAAAAAATGTCAACATAAGCTATAAACTTAGCAATTGAAACTGCGGGGCACAATAAGTAATTTAAAAAAGTTGAACAAGTTGTTTATATCTATGGTTTACCTGATTTTATGCAATTATCTTCAAAACTACTGGTTTGAAATTTTAAAAAGGCTATCAAATATAATTTTATGGCCAATAGGAGCCAAGCAGCAGGACAGAGGCAGCAATAAAGCGGAGTAAACCAGAAAATTATGTTATGTGCATAGAATATTTTGTTCTATTTTTAAATGGGCAGCTAATTGAACCTTTGAAGCCGGACATACCCAGACAGACTGGAGAGGCTTAGATGTTTAATTTGAAAAGTTAATGACAAATATCATACAATATAAAGTACATATTAGGTGTATTTTGTTTTTTGAATTGAATCCAATATAGACTTAGGAAAAATATATTCGCAAAAATTAAAAATAATATTGTTTTCGATTTCATAAAAAAATAACTTTTTTGTTAATAAATAAAAAAAGTAAATGTTTAATTGTTGTAAATCTCAATAATTGTAGTAAATAAGCTATAGATTAACATGGAAACAATATTTATTCGAAATGAAAAGCATGTAAGTAATCATACTATAAGTTTTTACCGTGGCAAATTTAATTGCGCGAAACTACTTACGTATTATTTTGCGAGAAGAAAAAATGATTATAATTTTACACCGAAACAAAAAGAAACTTATGTTTTAAGGTTTTTAGCGTGTTGAATATTTTAAAAAATATTTAAACGCATCTTACCTGATAAACCGATGACAATAATTCCAGGAATAATAAAAACACTATTAGAAAATGCATGCTCCAAAGGCCCCTCAGACCCGCCTCCGAGATCCACCATTTTCAATTAATACTGAGATGCTTCCTCCGAATAAAGCGACAAAAACAATCACTTCACTTATTCAGAACACTAAATGTACCATAATTATTATAAAATACACATACTTTCGGATAAATTCATAAAAATCTTTTACCCGACAGAAAAACGGAAGACGCAAACAAGTTTTAATTTTTATTATGCTTTTCAATTTCTCTATGTTTGGATACTAGGCTTTTGGTTAACAAAATAAAATATTGGTGGATGAAAGTGTAAGATGCCAAATACTAATTGGATAAGGCTTAAAAATTATTTTGCTGCTTTAAAATACTGACCAATTAACTTTTACAACTACAATTAAACTGCCATGCTTCAGCACGAATGTGAAGCAACACTTAAGTTGTTACTCGCCGTGTGAGTGAGGTTACCAGTTAACTCCTTTGGTAATACAAGTGTCCATGGGCGGCGGCTTCGATTGCTTACCATCATCCATCTGCTCATTTGCCGACATAAATATGCCATAAAAAATCAACTAAATTATTTAGATTACTACAATACATCTGGTGTTCAGTTTTCTGGGAATATTGGATTATTAGTCTGCTTTTGGCAGTCCTTGAATTAGTCCCTGATTGCCTTTGTAAGATTTATCATAGTTCATAAGTTATAACAACCTCTATCACATCTTGTTAGCACCAGTATGAAAAAAAATATGATGTCTGTCCGAGTCCAGGGATTGATAATAATTTATCAAAGCTATAAAGCCGATATTATAAACAGGTAAAGTTTCTATGTAGGGGGTAATTTTTGGAACTGCTGGTCAGATTCCCAATTTTCTTCTCTCTGAGCCTACCTATTTGGTACTATGTTCTTGAGTGCTATAGGCTATTAATAAAACATCACCCTACGACCAATAGGAGCAGAGCAGCGGCTGAAACCGCGCGGCAGTAGGTAGCTATATAAATTTGCAGCCAGCGACGCTTTATGGGAGAATTTCAGTTTCACGCAGTATTTTTATTCACTAAATTACCATCAATGAAGCAGTTTGTACGTCACTACCTATATTATGATTATGAAGATATATAAAAATGAATCATAAAATGTGTTTGGTAGGTAAGCTTTAGAACGTCTTGACCAAGTTTGCCAATTTTTTCTGTTTTGTTTATTATTGTAAGCAGAAGGTTCCTATGTAAAAAAAAATTGAGAAAAGTAGAGGGGGAAGTCGGGAAATATTGACCCCAAACGTAGTGGTTATGTTACCGGAAATGTATGAAACCTAGGAATTATATACAATTACTAGGAAATGTATACAATTCCGAAGCTATATAGGAAATGTGTAAAATATTGTTCCAAACATTATTTAATACACACATATCCTGGGAAATGTATACATTTCCCAGAAATTGTATAAAATTCCTATATCGTATTAGGAAATGTATAAAACCATGCTTTCTATGAATAAAATTAATAAAACACGTTGTTAAAATTAGAAACAGATTTATTATTAAGACTCCGGTTGAAACAATTAGGTAACAATCACATCGTAAAATATAATATCTTCTTCCGGCTTACTAACTAAGCTACAAAACAAAACTATTTACTAAATTTTAAGGCCCATCTAGCACAAACTTTACTTATATTTTCTTATAAAGCTCTATCATTTGGTAACTAAACAGTCTGTCAATTAAACAGTAATACGCCGTATAAACGCATACGAATGGACATCTTTAAAGTAATACATTTCCGTTAGCTATTTAGGAAATGTATAGATTTACTAGGAAATGTGTGTTATAAAATTTATTTCACACATTTCCGAGCAAATTTAGGAATTATATAAATTTCCTAGGAATTGTATACAATGACGGATTACACACATTTCCGTTAACAGTTACATACTCTTTCATTGACCATTTCGTCATTAGCGAGTACACTCGCGCGAAGCACGGGTAGACAGCTAGCAATTACAACATCCAACTATGACACGCTTGTTAATTCTCTATTGCGAGACGAGAGGTCAACACTGACTGGGGCGCCAGAGCAATCTGATGAAACAAAATGCGGTACCCCTCCTTCTAAGACTCAAGTCATTGCATTATTTCAACCGGTTGCTTTTAGTTAGTCGGAGTGTGACAGAAGTCAAGTCATTTTAATAACGCCAAAAAATTCAACTTTTCTAGCAATTTACTTGTGACCTGTTTTCGGAGTTGCGATGTTCATAGGCAGCGTTGCTTGATTTTTATCCGGTGATTAAAAGGCAAAATTCACGTTACATGTATTAGCGCAATCTAGTGATTAATAAAAAAAACGATTATGCACATTCGACTTTCGATGAGTGAATAAAATAAAAACACTTTATTATAAATATAAATTTATTATTGAAAATACACAATTATGTATATCTTTTGGCCTTAAAGTAACATTAGTGTACACAATACTAAAACAAAATAATAACACTAATGACACATATTCAATACAACAGTTCTACGACCACTATCATACAAGTTTAAAATAATAAAACATTTTTTTATTTATTTATTCATAATAATTAAAATCAGGAGTAAAAATAGTTGTTTTAAAATTATGTTCTTGGAATGTAGGCCTTTAAGCTGCAATGTCATCCGTATAATTACGTTTTTAAGTTGTAACTGGCAACTTTATTTTATTTCGTATCTCGAATACCGCCATTTTTTTAGTTTTGGCGCGTAGGTAACAACTTTCTATTATTTTGTAAATACATTTTATTTGATGAAGGTAAAATAGTGCAAAGTGATTTTTAAGTTTTTCTACATACAGAAGAGTGGTGAATATTGAAATATTGGAAAATTTTCACACATTTTTCATATGTATTATCCCTTTAATTCTCTTTACCGCGTTTTGCTGATTGTCGGTACATGGTCGAGCAAAATTTTAAATTGGGATTTTTCCTATAGAAAAATACAATTTGTTATTATTTGCCGACCTCTAGGTACGCAGTTGTCTTGAACTGTATTAATAAACTCACCAGTTTCAACTTAACACTAATCACTTTTTTAATATAACCGTATTTACACACCCTGTTAGGAAATTCTAATAATTTTCGATTCAGTCGCATTTTTGGACATAATTCTTGTGAAATAATTTGAAGAACCTCAACTTGAAAAGAAATTATCACAGAATATAATGAGGCCATCTTCAAATTTCAATGGAAAATCCGCTTTGTATAAAAATTTGGTCCTACTTACATATTTATTACTATTTTATTATTTATTTAGTCATTTAATCTCTACCAAAATACATTTTTAGTCCTAAAAATTGAACGGAGAAATGATATATTATAATTTTTATTATGAATATGTATTTATTTTATTCAATAGATTGTATATTTTTATAAAAAGGCACTTTCAGAATGACATTGAGCGATTTCGCGCGTAAAAAAACGTTTATCACGGAATAAACTTTTGTTTTTTTATTCAATACGAGTTATATATTTATAATGTTTTGTCATATTACTGGTTAGAATTTTCTCGAAGTTATTTTTAGATAGGAAAATGAATGATGAAAGAATATTACAATTTTCTAATCTCTACTATCACGAATGCATCAAAATATATTTTGTAACCAATAACATGGCAACACATGTGTACAAAAAACGTCATTTCAGTTCATTCAGCACTTAAAATTACATTTTAATAATATAATAATAATAATAATTCCTGAAATACAAATATCTTTGAAATAATCAATGATTTCATTGCATTTTGTCTATATTAGGCTGTATGAGCTAAAACAATAGTTTTCATTTACCTAAATTTTTAACTAATCGATTATTAAATTTACGAAACACGTTTTTTTTTTAATTTTTCTTCAGGGGATCGAGGTTGTCTATTGAAAAATCATCGTTTCCAAAGGAGATCCCTCGGCTGAATCCGTCCTGGAAAGAAAAAATTGAGAAATTAAACATTTTGAGTCATTTTCACAAAACATTTTTTAAAGATTATTATTATTATTTTATTTTATTATTTTAGATTATGATTTATTATTATTTTATTATTATTATTAAAGATAATCATGTCTTCTGACGTTCTAAAATAAACTAATAAAACTTTACTTTTTCTATCAAAATCGAATTAAATATTTTTTATTAAAGCTAATCATTTATTTTTCTACACAGACAACACTTTAGCACGCATATTTCGAAAAAGCCGTTGGTATTTAAAAACAGAAAACCTTTATAGATAAAAAATAATAATGACAATGAATCCAGATGATAAATGATAAATTCAACAACCAATTTATTTATTACAAATGTCTTTCATGCTTCTTCTCCCTTTCCTTAATATCCCTAGCCCAGACGTATACTGTTATGATGAGCTCATTAAAAGTACCTTCGTAATATACATACAATCGCAATGTTATAAGTATATATTAAAGGTTCAAGTAATAAGGAAATGGAATTAATAAATTTGGCAGAGCCATGCTTCGATACGAATGGGACGGCTCAACCGGAGTGATATCACGGCCTCATAAGCGTTCCCAAACCCACAAAGACTCTATTCCATTAAAAAAAGAATGTCTCTCATTTATTTTTCCTTTTAGCCTTTTATTAAGTCATTAACTGTGCACCCAGGTTTCGTTCGCGTTTTTTAGTACGTACACCGGGGACAGTATAGCTTCCCAACATTATAAAAAAATATGGGTTAATAGTTTCAGAGCCTGTCCAATTTAAATGAACAATTTTTTCCCTTTCATAATACTCGTATTAGTATAGATGAGTACTAAACACATCATGAAAAGAAAGTTATAGATGAATATGATAATCAAACTGTTATTGATGAAAAACGAAACCATTTTGTTGTATGACATCCTCACGGAACTATTTGACAAGTTGATTCGACCGGTTTCGAGCCACGACCGAAGCTTATAACTGTAGCCGTAGTTTGAAACTGGTCGAGTACCCATTTCGAGTAGTTTCCGTGAGTTAAAGACGTAGAACATAATTAATTAATTAATATGTTGAATGAGAGTTATATTACGAAAAAAAAAACGATAACAAAAGACAAACAATATTTTTTAAACAGTCACACCATTGACGATCACACTTTTTTATTAAAAAGTTTAACTCACCGATCATTGAGCTGTCAAAATTGATAAAAAATATGTATTTTAATATCTTTCAAATATATTGATGTATTATCAAAACTAAATATTCCATACGGGAGATCAAACCTACTTCCAAGATAATTGGAACAAATATTTTTAAAAATATTTTATATTTAATCACTTTAAATCATCATTCTAAGTGTCAATTGGTAAACAAATAACAATATTAGTCATTTTGCTGGGTAATTTATCTAGATTATAATAATTCAATATGACTAAAATATAATTAATGGTCCTGAGAATAATAACAAAAAAGGTTTTTTTTTCAAGTAATAAATTTCCTACATTTTGTCATTACTTTTCACATATGGCAACACTATCATTCAATCACCAATCAGAACAGAGGATGACACAGACTAAAAAAATCAAAATCCACATACCTTCATTTCTGATATAGTTTTATCTAGGAATCCATTGAAATTGCTGTCCAATTCAACTGTGGCTTTCTCGCTTAGATTCCCAAAGCCATTGAATGTAGAATTAAATCCGTTGCCGAAAATATTCGCAGATTTCTGCGTATCAAAGGGATCGAAGCCACTCAGTCCGTTCGTGAACGAGGTTGTGTTAAAAACTGACGTTTGTAGATTAAAATCCGCGATATCATAGTTAGGTTTGTTGGGGGCTGCGAATGGTTGGGCTAAGGGTGCTGGTTGTTGATTTGGGATGGAGAAGGGCGTGGATCCGAAGAGGTCGCTGCCGTTTATTGCTGGGGCTTGTTGTTGGTGTTGCTGTTGTTGCTGCTGCTGTTGCTGTTGTTGTTGTGGCGTGTGACGCTTCGAGGCTTTTGGTGGGGGGGCCACTGGAAAAAGGAAAACATGTTATAGTTATATTAGATTGTGGAGAGAAAGAGAGGAAAAGTAAAGATGTTTTTGTTTATAAAATAGAAATAGGTATTAACTTTTGGTCGGGACTTTGAAGCGCGTTAGTCGGAAATTTGTAGCTGCTTTTAGACAGTAATATAATTTGATCAAAATAAAACAAAACTGAATTTTTAAAGAAGAAAAAGGAAAAGGCAATCATTCTTAATTTAATTGCCATGGCTTGGGCAATTTGATTGTTACTAGTACGTATATATTTCTCATTATTGTATCGGGCTACCTAGAGAAATTCATGACACCTTCTCTTTCTAATAGCTAAGTAATAATGCAATAAATACTTACAAAGCGGTGGAGTTGTTGTGAGCGTGTTCTCATGTGACGGCGCCGTGAATCGTGACACTGGTTCCGACTCGAACGCACGCGGGTCGAAGTCTGAAAAGTGATGGGGAAAATTTATTTATACGCTGGCAACACTGACAGCAACCTAGGTGGTAGGTAGTCTAGCCAGGTCGAGTATATACCAGTATAGCTGGCAGTGGTTAGATGAAAAGAGTGGAATATTGAGTTCAGTGATGTGCAATTGGGAAGACCTATGTCCAGCAGTGACACTGACAGTTATTGTTTAAAATTTTACACAGGTAGAGGTAAAAATAAAGTCTTCTTTTTGAATAGGGAATAATCACCATAACTTATGGACCCCACTAGATGGGGCGTTATCATTACTGAATAAATGCGTGTGGCTTTTATTTAATATACGGGATTTCTCTCCTGCCCCGACGCGGTACATAATTTCTTCCCTCGGGTGCAAATCTGATACTAAATTTTTCAACATTTTAATGGATGTTATTTACATAATAAACCTTCCTCTTCAATCACTCTATCTTTTAAAAAAACCGCATTAACATCCGTTACGTAGTTTTTGTACGAGCAAAGCTGTACATTGTAGTAGTATTAGATTTATGCGCACATTGACGCGCAGCGAAATACATAAAATACGTGTATCACAGTAATCGAGCAGTAGTTGCATTACGTTAGGTTGATTGGGCAACAGTTCAGGCCCTTTTCGCCGCGGGTCAATCATTTTTATCATTTCTATCATTTATCATTTCTGTGTATTTGAGTGTAAGAAAACAGACAATATTACTGTAAGGCTTTATCATCACCTATCAGTTTATCATTTCTAAATGTACCTTACCCGTACAGTTTTAAAGATTTAAGCATACATAGGGATATAGGGACAGAGAAAGTTATTTTGTTTTATACTATGTAGTGGACACTTACCACTGTCTGAATCCGAGTTGAGTAGCAAACCCTCAAGTTTGGTGCCCACAGATGGGTTCTTGTTCGTCGACAGATCACCCAGGAGTTTGCTGCAAAATAATATATTAATTACTAAACAGAAATAATGTTGACTCCGTCTTATAAAAACTAAATAATTGTTGTTCCGGGTCTGGATTTTGAAATTGTATAACCGCACCTACGACATAAGAGAAAATCCTAGTGTGGGGGCAAACAAAAAAAACACAAAAGAAGACAGTAACAAAAACAGGGCTGGCCAAACTAAAAATAAAATTGACACAAGTAAAATGCTGTTTTCAGAACTAGCGACATCCAGTGGCTGGATGAGAAGACAGTGCCCACTGTTGAGTAAAGGCCTCTTTTCACATGGAAACGGTTTGATCATTAATTACTACGCTTGCTCAAGGTAAAATAGCGATTTCAAACTTCCAATTGGACATTATAAGTCCAGGTTTCCTCACGATAATTTTCTTCATTGTTTGTAGTCACATTGGTAGATACTGTATGGAATACAAACGGGAGCGCTAGCTTCCACCCGCGACTTCGCCCACGTGTATGTTAATAAAAAGCCTATTCCCCATTCCGGAATGCCTGTGTCAATTTTCATCCAGATCCGTCCAGCCGTTTTGGCGTGATTGAGTAACAAACATACAAACATCGTAACTTTCGCATTTATAATATTAGTAAGAAGTAAGATTATACTCACTTGGTACCAAAGCTGTGTTTCCCGTTGTGTTGTGGAGGTGGCGTGGACAGCAACAAATTGTTGTCGTTGTTTGAATTGAATGTATCCGTCGAGTTGTTCGACAACGCGTCCGTGCCTGTGGACATAATTTAATTTATTTATTTATCTCTCTAAATAACTAAATCCATAAAATTCCAAACATTCATTGAAATTAAAATAGCAGTCAGCAATAAATACATAAAAAATCATTTAAATCGGTCAAACCGTTTAGGAGGAATTCAATGACATGCACACATACAGCAGAATTATAGATATATCTGTAATTTAAACCTATAAATACGCTTAATGTGGGATTGATACAATTATTTTGTCTCGGCCGACTTCTGTAGATGCTAAAAAATTATGTCGTTTAATTTCCATCCTTCAAGAATGACTTCCTTAATTATACTTAGTAGATTTATATAATATGTAGCATAGTGGATAATAATTGTAAAATATACTATAGGACTGACATATCTTTATGGATAAAAGTTCCTAAATAAATAAGAACAAAAAAAAGAATTATATATATGTATGTAAAGATACATGTCGGCGGGGTGGCGCTTCGATCGTGCGAAACGTCAGGCTGTGTCATAGAGCTGTCATCGCTTGGGATTGGTGTGTGCCGTGTGTGCTTAAATGGGATTTTTCTAACGTGAACCGCCAGACTGAACGGACGCACGCACAGAACTCTCTGCATTTCGTATTGCAATCCGTCTACATAGTTATAGAGTTACCGCATTTTCTGTATGTAAGTAAACCGATTAAAGAGGTTTGGTGTGAACAATCTGCGAGTTTATTCCGAAGAAACATCACCCACAGTACCCAAATGGTGGACGAAGATGAAGCAAACTCTCCGACGATCCCACTCGTCCCTCCGTCATATATTATAAGACTTAATTACTACAAAAACTGCCTGGTAAAAAAAATCTAGATTTTTTATTTTTTCCTCACCTGTCTCCGTGTTGCTATTCCCGTTGCTGTTGGCGAAACCATTGGCCATGGTCAGCGAGCTGATCTGCTTCTCCAACTCCGGGGGCGGTTTGAACTCCGTGATGTCGGACAGCTTGTTGCGAGCCAAGTAAGACGAGAGATCGTCCTTGTAAGTGATCTTCGATAACTCCTGAAATAATTGAGAATTTTTATATTAGGTACACATTATTATATCAGTCAGTAAGTCATAGGAAAGAAGAAGCAAACCTACAATAAATAGGCCTGCTCGACCGGAGTGATACCACGGCCTCATAGAAAACCGGTGTGAAACAACCACAGCGTTGTGTTTCGCTGCTTGAGTTAGGTTACCGGAAGCCCAATCCTTTCCCTTTCTAATCCTTAAATATCTAAAACCTTTATTCCTAAAACGCCGATAACGCACTCGTAACTCCTTTAGTATTAAGGTTGTCAATGGGCGGCGCTGATTGCTTACCATCAGGTAATCCGTTTGCTCGTTTGCTGAGATATGTCATAAAAAAAACAATCCTCTCTCTTGTCCAATCCCTCCTTAACCTTAAAATCTAACAAAAAAATAAAGGTAAGGTCGCCAACGCACTCGTTGGTCCGCCGTTGGTGTTCATGAGCTGATTGCTTCATCATCATCATCAGCCCATAAGTGCCCACTGCTGAGCAAAGGCCTTTTCTCACACGGAGAAGGTTAGAGCATTAATCACCACGCTTGCTCAATGCGGGTTGGCGATTTCAAACTTATAATTAGAAATTATAAGTCCAGGTTTCCTCATGATGTTTTCCTTCACCGTATGTCAGTGGTGTCTAAATAATCATACAAAGTACACATTCCACAACGTGGAAAAAGTCACATTGGTACTTGCCAGGTTTCGAACCCACGCCGTCGTGCATGAGAAGCGGGCTCTTTAACCTTCGAGCCACCATGGCAAGTGAGTGATGACAGTGACTGCTTACCATCAAGGAAAAATACCTGTCAATTAAATAAAAATTACCTGCAAACGACTTTTGTACGCGTTCATTTGTAGCTCGAGTTTTTTATTTTGAAGCTGCATCTTCTGCATCTCGATGTATTTGCCGTTGTCGTTCAAGAACCGTCTGAAAGGAAAATAAATTAAATTTTTAATATTTATGAGTACAATGGTGTAGATAGGTTACCTAAACAAAATTCGATTTTCAAAAGACACACTGATACACACATTAACAAATCATACGTCAAAGTGAGATGGCATGATTCAATAATCGCGAGTGAAAAAGAGACAAATAAATATGAAAAGGTGTGGCTAGTTAGCCACATTTTAATGTATCAATTGCTGAGCGCTTGTATATCTACACCTTATTACTTATAATTATTTATGAACGAAATAATAGGTTGTTTGTAGATTTTCTTGAAAAAATATTTGTATTCCGGTTTTGTTTTGGTTTAACTATACAAATATGAGTAGTTAGATTTTTTCTTGTTTTTAATCGACTTCTTAATAATGGTAGGTATGTTGATAGCGCTTACGCGGTAGGGTTTGCCATACCAAGAATAATCAAGTCCATAATCTAATTGTGTAGATAATGTGTAATGAATATCTTAGAGAAAACCTTTGAATAGATTGCTTGTCTAATGAGAAAACATGAGAATGATAGGAAGCGGTGTATAGATATTTTTCGTCGACAATGTATATGAAAAAAAAATGATAGGTACCAGATCAAAAAAAAAAGCTAGAAAATCATATTTTTTATTTACCTGTAGGCCAAATCAAACGCCTGACCGATGGTTAACGTAATTTCTGAAGCTAATTTCGTTGAAATAAATACGAAACATTCATGTTTCTCGACAGCGCCATCATGGCCGTTCATTCCGTTGACTGTGCTGCCCCCTTTCGCAATAAACGAGAAGTATTTCTTCGCGCCTTTGTCGTCAGCGCAGTAGGATATCCGGTGTAGAGGGAATTGGTACATGATGTTGTTAGACCGCGGCTCCTGGAATTAAAAAATAATACACGTAAGTTTTTATCGAGGTAACTGGTCTATTTTCGGGACATTCCCGGGACTCATAGTCATATTTATGATAAGAGCAGCATGTAAATGTTTTGTTTTTTGTGATACGGCGGCAAACGAACTTAGATTACCTGATGGTAACTAATTATCATCGCCCCTGGACATCCCCAAAATCAGAGGAGTTAGTTGAACTGCCAGCCTATTGGGGGTAGGGCGTTTCGGGGGATTTAAGGATTATTATTGAGGAGGTTGTAGGAGAGAGAGCGGAAAGATTTGGCGCTTGGTAACCTCATTCACACGAAAGATTAGATTTAATTGAGTGGATTGGTAGAAAATGTACGATGTTTTAAGTTAGCCCCGTGTTTTGTGTATGAAATAATAATAATAATTAACCATATTAAAATAATAAAAATGTTTAGCTTAACTAATTCAAAAATAAGTAAACAAAACACATTTGGAATAAAACCAGCTGATTGCTTTTAAAACCTAAACAAAAATCTGTACAATCAAGCACCATTTCGACAATAGAGAGTGTCATGCATTTCGCTTCTGACCTTGCGCCTGCGCACCGTAACATGAAAGCGACGGAAACGCCCGAGTTCGCCCGAACACACGCGGCTAACTACCACCATTGATTACAGCTGTGTGTGCATGTATTTGTCTTTTTCTAATGACTACAGTATTGTTTTGATCCACTGCGTTTTCAGTTTGCGATTTTTTGTTGCGATTTCTAATCGCTACTTAGTATAAAAAACTAAGTCGCTTTCTCTGTCCCTATATCCCTATGTATGCTAAAATCTTTTTAACTACGCAACGGAATTCGATGCGGTTTTTTAATAGAGAGACTAGTTGAGGAGAAAGGGGTGTATATATTATGTATAATCATCATCATCATCATCATCATCAGCCTGTTGTCGTCCACTGCTGGACATAGGCCTCCCCAATTGCACGCCACTGAGCTCAATGTTCAGCTCTTCTCATCCAAACACTGCCAGCCACCCTGCGGATGTCGTCAGTCCACCTAGCTGGAGGGCGCCCTACACTATAATAACATCCATTAAATAGTGGAGAATTTTAGTATCTAAATTGCAAACAGGCGAAGACGGAGCGGGGCGCTAGTTTTAGTTATAGTAAGGTTTTAGGCAGTATATAAATTGCAAGAGATTCTTCAAACTTCGGATTGCATTAAAACTGTGACACCACATTAACTTTTTCTTATAAATAGACATTTATTGCTTATCCATTTAGGATTTGGGTCCGAATGCTTGCAAGTACCAATGTGAGTATTTCCGAGTTATAAGTATACTCAACTTGTTTTTTTATGGTATAAGTCGGCAAACGAGCACACGGATTACCTGATGGTAAGCAATCCGCGCTGCCCATGGACACCCGCAACACCAAAGGAGTTACGAGTGCGTTGCCGGCCTTTTTGGGATAGGGGTTGCGGATATAAGGATCGGGAAGGGATAGGGGAAGGGGCGGGATTGGGCCTCCGGTAACCTCACTCACACGGCGAAACACAACGTTGTGGTTGTTTCACGCCGGTATTCTGTGAGGCCGTGGTATCACTCCGGTCGAGCCGACCCATTTGTGTCGAAGCTTGGCTCTCCCACACTTAAACTTGTATTTAAATACCAATGATATACAGTCAAATACCAGAATTACTGATGCTATATTTCAATGTCTATACAGCAATTTTTCACCTTTATACGCGGTAAATTGAGACACAATAGAAAAACATTTGGGGTCTGATGAATTAAACTTAAATTTCACGAGGAACTCGACTTGTTTCGAGGTACGGCAAGGGCTCATATTCTAGACTCTGAAACTAGTCGAGTTCTGCTAAAAACAGCTACGTAAGCCATGAATTAATACTGACATTAATACTACCTACTATGCTTTTTTTTGTGAGGGGAATATCATCAAATGACTTCTCCCGCCCAGGGCCGGGCTGGAGGGAGTGTCAGACTCTTACTGACTAAAAACCCCCCTGTTCCTTCTCCTGCTCTCGGCCGAGATTGCGCTTACCCCGCAACCGGCTGAACATCAGCCCTATAGGGCCCCGTCTGTGGTGGTCTATTGGCTAATACTGCTATATAGCATAGCAGCCAGAAAACTAGTTACCTACCACCATTTTAAGAAGAGATGTCATTTCAGCTATGCACATATGTAGTTTATACTTTATACATAGTTGATAATGATAATTATTTATGTTCAATTATCATGCAAGCGGGAATGTAAATAGCTAACATTATATACTCAACGCATACATAATACGTTGTATATAACACTCATAATCATTTCCTGTAATCATTTTTAACCGAGTCCGCTTAAAATGAGGGTAATGTGTTTCACGTGGGTATGTATACTTAGGGGAAATCGTCAAAGGACTTCTCCCGCCCAGGTTAGGGCGAGCCTCCCTGTCGGACTCAGACAGACTAAAAAGCACCCCGTTCCTTCACCAACTCTGGTCCCAGTCAAAAAGTCAAAAAGTCAAAGTCAAAATCTTTTATTTCATTATACAGGCACTTTTGAACGTCTACAACATTTTAAAGATAAAAAGTGTCATTTTGTCAATCAGTCCACTCGGAGAAGAACGAGCAAGAAACTCCATGATTACTCGTTTTAAATCAGTTTCACATAAAGATTCTTTTGTTTATATTACACCCACAACCCCGCCCCGGTTTGAAAATAAAGAAACCTCGAGTTATATTATATTCAAGTGCCTAATCAGCTTGAAACGGATTATCCGTCCTTCGCAAGAGCAATAATGTCCTTTACGACAAAAACGGAATGGTTTTTAGTCAGAAGGAGTCTGAAACTCCCTCCCGCCTGGGCGGGAGAAGTCATTTGATGATTTTCCGTGTCGCACCGTGTGTAATCCACAAATTGTTGTTCCGGGTGGGTGTGATGCACGGTGTGTATGTGAAATTGTATGTTTGTAAACGCATCCAGGACACAGGAGAAAATCGCAGTGCAGGCAATTTAAGAAAAAAGATCTCATGCCAGAAACAAAACCCCAACTTTTCAATAAATAAAAAAACCGCGCGGCGTGAACAGTCTTCTAAAAAAATCTTTTATTGTAAGATTCCCACTGCAATAATTGGCTGTGAAATCAATTATTAAGCGTCTGTCATAACTTTTACTTTCGTTCGCCTATATCTGAGTAAAATTGTTACATACATACATACTTACGTACATATAAATAGATATTATATTGTGTTATTCTCCATGCGTGTGTTGTTGTTATGTAGCTAATGTACTATCGACCAAGTCTACGTTGGTCGGGTACACAATGTTTGCTGGTATTTGGTGGAAAGAATTGCGTTCATATTTGTTACATTATACGATCATATATGCGTATAGCATTAAAATTATGTACCGAAATTGGTAAGAATCTGATATTCAATAGTCTAAATAAGGGTATTAGAACGTTTTTATAAGTAAAAGTGTGTGTTTAAAATGTTAACGCATATTTGTTGTATTTTTATAAGTGAACGATAATAAACTTCTTTCGAACTTTTTATACGTCATTTAATGTATTGGCGATACGCTCCCTTCTGATGATTAAACGTAATAATATTAACCTTAATTCAATCACTCTATCTATAAAAGAAATCCGCATCAAAATCAGTTGTGTACTTTTAAACATTCAAGCCTAAATAGGGTTAAAGCGACAGAGAAAGTGACTTTGTTTTATACTACATCTATACTAATATTATAAAGGGGTAAAATTTGTAAGTTTGTATGTAGGGGGCAATCTTTGGAGCCGCTGTTCGGATTGCCAAAATTCTTTCACTGATAGATAGCTAAAATGTTCCTGAGTGCTATAAAACATCACGCTACGATTAAATGGAGACGAGCGGCCGAAACCGCGCGAGATTAGCTAGTAATGCATATGTTATATTATTATCATTATGTTCATATTAGCTACAAAACTCGTACTTACGGAACAAACACGAGCATTCCAAATATAAAAAAAGTTGTTCTTCTATCAACCAAGACACAATCCATTTTGCCGATTGTACATTTGATTTCACTTTTGTTATACGCGTGTGGGCATGTTAAAATCAATGTTTACATACATGAGTACATATAGGCATACGTAATCGTTACGCCAGCTAATTAAAGTGGGGTATACGGAGATGTAGAGTTATTACCAAGTTAATAAACTTAAATGTTTAATTAGAGGAGAAAGTTTTGTTCTAAACATTATAACATGGTGTAATGTTATTATGTTAAATGGTAGACAGTTATGTTATTTTTGTAATGTTTTGTTATGTGGAAGCGTGTTTTTGTTTACTTTTTAAGTGTTCTGTATATTTTTATCCAATGAAAAGAGGAGGAGTTCGTGTGGGAGAACCAAGCTTCGGCACGAATGGGTCGGCTAGACTGGTGTAATACCACGGCCTCACAGAAAACCGGCGTAAAGCGACATTTATGTTGTGTTTCGCCGTGTGAGTGAGGTTACCGAAGACCCAATCATTCCCCGACTCCATCCTCAATCTTCAAATCCCTTATCCTTAAATATCTTTATAACCCACAAAAGGCCGTCAACGCACTTGTAGTAACTCCTTTGGTATTACGACTGTCCATGGGTGGCGCTGATTGCTTACCACCAGGTAATCCTTCTGCTCGTTTGCCGACCTATCACATAAAATACAGAAAAGAATTCAATAAATAGTATGTGAAATTGTTTTTGTATCTATCAACCCCAGTTTTAAGGCTATGAAAAAGGAGGTGAAATACCTGAATGGCGACACCGTCGACAGAGATGGTGATCTCAACCTTCTTGCACTTGGCGCCATCTTTGGCTTCAGATTTCTTCAGCTGCTGTGTGAACTGCAGTTTCTTTATAGCGTCCTTCACAACCTCGATACCTTTGGGCTGGTCTACTTGCGTACAGCCGAGGAACTGGAAAAAAGAAATAGATTTTATTAATACCAGAAAAAGATTTTAAATGTGGGAGAGCAATGCTTCGGCACGAATTGGTCGGCTAGACGGGAGTGATACCACGGCTTCACAGAAAACCGGCGTGAAACTACGTTATGTTTCGCCGTGTCAGTGAGATTAACGAAGGCCCAATTCCCCCCCCCCCACCCCAATCGCAAAAGGCGAGCAACGCACTCGTAGCTCCAAGTAAAATAGTGGCAATGACGAAAAATTGTCGCCTCACAACTTGTATGGAAAAGTTATATAGATGAAAAGATATGACAAAGTCCCACGGCACCGCCGTGACCCCATACAATAAATAATTAAACAAATAATAACTGCAATTATAATAATATCTAATTACGGACATTCACACCTCAGGCTATTGTTTTAAATATATACTTATGTACCTACTACATATACATATATACTCAGCAGCACTAGCTATACTGGTTGCAAACTGACACTTGCGTGCCTGTCTTCAGAACGGGTCCACTTAAACTGGTGCGGTTCTTTCCTCAAAAGACCACTACAGAATGAACTTGCACGGTTCTCTCACATTATGTTATTTTTACATTGTCTGGTCTTGAAAAGAGACTGACCTCTGAGTTTGTTTCGGCATTTCTTCTCAGAGTAGTCAGATAGGAAATGCCGGCTTCATCTAGTTTTTCACATATTATTATAATTTGACGTGTAAAAGTGCTGTTTTATGACCTATTTGCAAAAAAAAATTCATTGTTTCTACTTAAATAATATCAGGATACATCTTTTTCTTCAATCAATACGGAAAATACTGCATAGGTTAACTTCAAAACTTTGCAAATTCAATACTTTGTTTCCAAAAAGTCGTAAGTTAAAAAAAAAAACATGATTTCGACTAAATCATTTACTAATTGTAAATGATACCACGGCCTCAGAGAAAACCGTGTAGGTGAGCCAAGCTTCGGCACGAATAGGTCGGCTCGACCGGATTGATACCACGGCCTCACTGAAAACCGAAGTTAAACAACCATTGAGTTGTGTCTGACCGTCTGAGTGAGGTAGTCGAAGGCCCCAGTTTTCCATCCCTAAATCCCCAAAAGGTCGGCAACACATTCGTAACTCTTCTGTTGTTTTGTGTTATGATCAGGTAATCAGTTTTTTCGTTCGCATTCCTATCACATACAAAAATGAAACAACCATAGCGTTGTGTTTCGCCGTATGAGTAAGGGAGCCGGAGGCATATACTTTCCCCCTCCCACATCCCTCGCCAATCAGTAAATCCCTAATGCTTGGGCCACACTAACGGAAAATGCCATTAATTATCGTGACAATTGACGTTATTCGTAGGTGTAATTTGATCACTAAACAAATAGTTTAAGGTATGTTTTGCATCGTTTAATATCATCAATTATCGCGATAATTAATGGCATTTCCCGTTAGTGTGGCCCAAGCATGACTGGCAACTACTGCAACTCCTCTACGGATGCCGGTGTCCATGCTTCCATCGGTTTGTTAACGCTATCTCTCGCACGATTTTCCTCCATGTTTTTCGATTACTGGCGATGTAAAGGACATATCGTATGCTTAATTGAAAATAAGCCTAACTCAAAAAGAAGGTATTTGGATCTTAGAAACTATGTTTTAGGAATAAGGTTCAATTTCGAAATTCCCCTTGTTTGAGTAAGTTTTGTTTTCTTTTAAATATGATGGACAGTGGAGCCTAGAGCAGTGCGGATCTGACCTGATCAACGTTTTGGTTTGTGATCTCCAGGTCTTTAGGTACACAATTTCTTTCGTTTTTTCATTTTTGAAAATACATTGCCTCATACTTAGATTTTGTCCTGTGTCGTGGATGCGTTTACAAACATACAAATTCACATCCACTTCACACCACAACAAGACCCGAAACGACAATTTATGGATCACACAAAGAGTTTTTTCGTGTGGGAATCGATACGGCGACACGTTGCACAGCAGCCAGCTGCGCCAACCTTGCAATCTAACAATAATTAAGGTTAAATTTAAACATTACAAATTCCTGCATGTTACAGATAAAGCAACACTTGTATGGAAACGCCCCCAAACTGTAATAATTAACAGATGGCATCACATTAACACGTGCATCGATAACTCTATTTATTGTTTGTTATTGTTATAAATCATGTGGCCACTGTAAAATAGCAGCGCTACTCTTCAAGCGGGTGTATGATACCCGTCGACGTCAACGAATAAGTTATAAGTTCGTTGCCGGTCTTTATGAAGGATAACGGTCTTTTCTTGAAGGTTTGTTGGTCATTTCGTTTCGGTAACCGAAACCTTCTTACGAAGATGACCATAATCCAACAGAGGATCTCTGTCATGTCCTGAGAACTTGGAGAATGATTACAATTCTTTGCAGTGACGAGTTTTTAGTAAAGACAATCAGATTCTTGCCATTCTCTGCTAATTGTCTTATGGCTGTTATGAATTCAAGTTCCTTCACATGATAAAGATGTAAAATTTGTAAGTTTGTATATAGGGGGTAACCTTTGGAACCGCTGGTCGGATTACCAAAATTCTTTCACTGATAGATAGCTAAACTGTTCCTGAGTGCTTAAGACTACTAAAATATACTTGATTTGCTTATTTAAGCCAAGCTGTTGGCTTAAACTCCCGGAATATATTAAATTTTTACGGGTTTGAAGCCGAGGGCGGAAGCTAATCATGTATGAGAAATAACATACCTTAACAAGGTACGCTACATGTCCCTTCACAAGGGCATCAGGTGCGTGTATCCAGTTTCTGCCATTTGGAGCTCCATTCGCCTTCCCCTTGCCCTGCCAGAACAGCAGGGTGGACATCCTGAAACAATTGAGAGTAACATGAGAAATGCATCACCATAGAAATATCGAATATAACCAAGAATAGGGAGATCTGCTTTGGCTGGTATGGAGTGATATCACGGCCTCACTGAAACCTGCATAAAGCATCGATTGCGTCGTGTGTCGCACTGTGAAAGAGGTTATCGGAAACCTAAACTCTCCTTTATTCTTAATCCTCAATGCTTCATCCCAAAAAGCCAAGAACCCGCTTTTGTTGTGGATGTAAATTTGTGGCGGCAATTGCTCACGTCTGTTAAGGTCTTTCAAGAGACCAGAACCCACACAAAGTGCGTAAAAAAACAAGGATAACTTTCTGCTCATGTCTCATTACACAGTTGGTATATCTTCATTATTTTTTCAAAATACCATCACTATATTCATATGTCCTGAAGTACAACATTAAGTACTAGAAGCACCGTACACTCAGGTCTGGTTTTGATCAAGCTAGAACCTTGCTCAACATACGCAGACCATCATAAGGGTGGCCGGAGATAGTCACGCGATCCCCAACGCCCGATAAGTATCTCCTGAAGCCACGTCTGGAGCGTGAAGAAGAATAGTTTCCTAGCGTATTCCTTGACCGTCTTCTCCTTTGCGAGCATGACGTGTTTAGCAGGAAGATGAGACGGCTTCCCAGTTCCTCTTGCTTATGATTTAAGAGGCCCAAGAAAGGTTTTACCCTGCCCGGTTCTTCATAAGTAAAGAGTAATTAAAAATTCTTGTAATACAGCTTTCGTTTAAGTGAAAATAATATTAAAATGGAAGTTTAGTATAATACTAGCTTTTGCCTGCGTCTTAGTTCGCGTGGAATAGTGACTTGAGCAGATTTTTGGTAGAAAAACTATCCTAAGTCCTTTCTGGAGTTCCAAACTATGTTTGTGCCAAATATTACAGAAATCGCTTTAGTAGTATAGGCGTGATGAAAAGACAGACAGACAGACAGACAGAGTTACTTTCGCATTTATAATATTAGTTTGGATGTAAATAGTAGCGGTAAATTTAAAAGCAAAAGTTTAATTATAAAATGTAATTAACACTCAAATTGTTAATAGTGTGTTTTAGGCTGGGTTTTTTATGCGGCTTTGGCGGTTGGAGTGAGTGGAATGACTTCTAAGTAGCAATCGAGGTTTGGAAAATAGGCTATGGTACTTCCAGAATAGTAAGATTTTCATTGTTGAAAAGAATTTGTTATATGTTTGTATTTGTTTAAGTGTGGGAGAGCCAAGCTTCGGCACGAAAGGGTCGGCTCGACCGAAGTGATACCACGGCCTCACAGAATACCAGCGTGAAACAACCCACAGCGTTGTGTTTCGCCGTGTGACTGAGGTTAATCCGCAACCCCTATCCCCAAAAGGCCGGCAACGCACTCGTAACTCCTTTGATGTTGCGGGTGTCCATGGGCGGCGCCGATTGCTTACCATCAGGTAATCCGTCTGCTCGTTTGCCGACTTATACTATAAAAAAAGTTAAGAATTGTACCTACGTTGTGGTAGGTAATTAAATAATTATTTATATGTTATTTTATGATGTATTATTATTTTAATAAAATCATGTAGGTTTTTATACATATTATGTGGTAATTTATATTGAAGATATCAATGATAAATGTACCTATGTGAAGATATATAAATAATATGCAATTATTTACATACCTTCATACATATGTGCAAATTCATTATTGTACATAATTATTTGTAATGTTTACGGAAACTATCGATTACATAAGTAATGTAAAGGCTGTTATATATTGCTAGCTTACGAATTATATTCGAGAAATTCTCGTCTAATTTCAAGCTGTACCGGGGTTTACATTCGTGATAAATTTAAGAGTACTATTTAAAGGAGGCAGCCTTCACAGTTTAGGGAGTTGAGCTATTTAAGAAATAGTTTGTTGACGTAAAGAAAACTTGAAAAATGTAACTTAAGGCTTAGATACGAGTAATTAATGAGGCAAATGTTTAATTAGAAGCAGGATGACAGTGTTTATTGGGAACCGAACGGTGTCATAACCATCGGCAGTCGAGCATATTGCGCAAATATAGTATTGAGAAAGCATTCATTTGAATACAGCCTCTATATAAGGTTCTAGCGACCCGCATGGGTGCAATATTAATACCTACTCAATTTCTCCACTATTTAATGGATGTTATTATACATATAAACCTTCCTCTTCAATCACTCTATCTATTAAAAAATGCAGCAAAATCCGTTGCGTAGTTTTAAAGATTTAAGCATACATAGGGATATAGGGACAGAAAAAGCGACTTAGTTTTATTCTAGTAGTGATTGTAGGAAGCTAAAAGTACGAAGAATATGGATGGATGTTTGTTTAAAAACTGCTGAGTGGATTTTAATGAAAATTGGTATTGAGATAGATTATAGTTTGGAAAAACTTAGTCTATTTTTTCCCTACAGTAACACGGGGTATGCCGCTTGTAGAAAGCTAATAATAAGTAGAATTCAGTAACAACTGTATTTTTTATTAGATTATAGCATTTCCAATAGATGGCGGTTTTACCTACCTTTTATTATGTATTTTTTTTACGTTAGTAGTACCGATTTCCAATTTTTTAATACATCGATGGCGGTTTTCACAAGTTTTTATTTTGTTTTTTTACAATGGCGGCCTTAAGCGTTCTCTACCAGTCTACCAATTGAATTTGCTCTACTCAAAATCCAGAAAAATGACTCAATACTGTTTAACAGATGTGGGAGAGCCATGCTTCGGCACGAATGCACGTGCAAAGAGGCTGATTGGAGATCCAGATTTGGTTGGGTCCAATATTCAAAGTCTCGAGCACAGGCGCAGAGTAGCCAGTCTTGCGGTTTTCTACAGGATACATTTTGGAGAGTGTGCCCAGGAATTGCACGATTCGATTCCGCCATCCCAATTTCACCTTCGGACATCCCGGCGTACGGCGAATATCCACCCCTACGTTGTTGAGACACCTGCGGCCCGGACTAAGCGTTTTGCCTCGTCATATATACCGCGTATATCGAGGGATTGGAACAGTTTGCCGGCTGCAGTCTTTCCGTCCGAATACAATTTAGGTGTCTTCAAGGCTAGAGTGAATAGGCTCTTAATAAACTAGTGCGCCTTACCATCAACGATTGCATCACTGCTTAATATCAGGTGGGATCGCAGTCAAGCAATGGTTTATGGCAAGTAAAAAAAAAAACAAAATGGGTCGGCTCGACCGGAGGAATACCACGGCCTCACAGAGGACCGGCGTGAAATAACCACGGCGTTGTGTTTCGCCGTGTGACTGAGGTTACCGGAGGCCCAATCCTTCCCCTCCCCTAATCCTCAATCCCTAAATCTACAAATTTCTAAACCCTTAAAAAAGGTCGGCAACGCACTCGCCACTCCTTCGTTGCGGGTGTCCATGGACGGCGCTGATCGCCTATTACATAAAAAAAATATGAAGTGGCTTATAAAAACTATTTTTTTTTTTTATTTTTTTTTTATTTCAATCTATTTTTGTTTACCTCCTTTAGGGGATTAAATGCATCACGTGTTCTGTTTTATGTTCGTGACTGTATTGCACGACTGTTTGTCCGTATTAATTGCTATTAGTTTTATATCAGTACATACGATCATGCCAAGGTCTGTAGGAGTTATGATCTCATGCTTCTCATGTGTGAGTGGTTACCGGAGGCCTAGTTCTATGAAGGGGCCTCCCTATACCGCTACCCCTTAAGTTACTGTAAGAGCGTTGCCAGGCGTCCGGATAAAGCCGGACATAGGTAGGCTTTTTGATTGCTTGCCCGGCCTTTTTAGCCAAATGTCCGGCTAAACGGGCTGGTCTGTCCGGCTATAAGGCGACAGCGACCTGGCCACCCTCTGTAACCCCGGCCTCGAACAGTGGAAGGAACGGGGGCTTGTAGTGAATAAGAATCTGATAGGGAGTGTCTTAACTCACCCTGGGCGAGAATAGAAACTTGATGATTAAAAAAAACCCCAAATACCAATCTTGAGGATTCCCAGACTCAAAGGCCAGTGATGAAATTATATTTTTTCTGTAGTTCGCATTGGCTTTCAGAGGAATTGAATTGTATTTTGCCGCCGTCGATGTCACCGATGATCCCTCAAATGTGGTAGAGCTATGCTTCGCCACGAATAGGTCTGCTCGACCGGAGGCCTCATGAAAAACCGTGAACCAATCACAACGTTGTGTTTCCCCGAGTCAGTGAGGTTACCGGAGGAACAATCATATCCTTCCCACATCCCTCCCTTCAAAAAAAAGGATTCGAAGACGACTAAGGGGCTTTTAATTTAACAGAGACAGGGCACCTAAAATGACCAAAATGACCACCAATTTTTCCCATTAAAAAAAGATATGAATCTTGCTAATACTTACAGAAATAAATATTGATACCGGATATTTCATTGTTTATCATACATTATATACAAAATCAATATATGTATATATGTCTGTATGTTGTGTTGTTATCACCTTTTTTATTCACGAGTCAAGGTCTTAATAATAATATAACCTCTAAAAAAAGTATTGTAACTCGACAATCTTGTCTCTGGTTCATTTATAAAAGTACATATATCTGTTTACAAATAATATACATATGTATGTATAGCTGACCGATCCGCCCCGGCTTCGCATGGATCATCATCATCATCAGCCTATAAGTGCCCACTGCTGAGCAAAAGCCTCTTCTCATACGGAGAAGGTTAGAGCATTGATCACCATGCTTGCTCAATGCGGGTTGGCGATTTCAAACTTGTAATTTGAAATTAGAAGTCCAGGTTTCCTTACGATGTTTTCCTTCACCGTATGTCCGTGGTGTCTAAATAATCATAGAAAGTACATATAACTCGGAAAAAGTCACATTGGTACTTGTCAGGTTTCGAACCTTGTTGAAAAAATGGGGGCCAAAACTACAAGTATATCAATGATACTCGTAATATTTACGAAAATTCCTAAAACGTAACATTTGCTTAACCACAAAGGACATTGCAATAAT